GTGCTGAAAATAATTAGCTGGAAACATCTGCACTGGACAGCAGAGTTCATGGGCTCATTTGCAGATGGAACCTGCTTGCAGTTCTTGTGGGCCTTGAGGTTTTTCAATTTGTCCCTATGTGATCAGGCAGGTGGCAGTTGGTCTGTGTCAGTGGCATGGGACAGTTGGCCACTGGCCTGTGTTGGTGGCAGCACCAACACTGTGTCAATGCAATGAGGGCAGTGAAGTTCGCTGGGACCGGGAATGTTTCTCCTGATGATGAAGCTCTCTGTCCTGCTGTTTCTGTGCACCCAGTTCCAAGCCTATTTTCTCCCCATTATTTTTTTTTAATGAAGCATCTCTAGCTCTTCCCTCCTCCCAGCCCCTGCCATTTTTGGCTGGACAGCTTTGCTGTTTCTGCAAGCCAGCCCTCTCACACACTGGTATTTGCCTTGGCTGGGAGCTTAATGACTCGTGTGTTTGGTGAGGACCTGCCAGAAAGCCCAGCTGGGGCTCTGTTCAAGCCTGGGGCACTGAGCTGCTGTCATCCCACATGGAAACATCCCCATCTCCAGAAAAGCAATTCATCCCTCCTGGTCATCAGCTCCATTCCTGTAGGGATCTCTGAAGTGCGATCTCTGCCACAGCTGGAAAGGTACCACAGGCTGATCTACTGCGAGGGAGGAGCAGAGAAAATGCTGGAGGACTCCCTTCTTCCTCCAGCCCGGCCTGGGCTTTGGTCAACCCACACCAGGGTGGTAGCAACAGCAAGAAGGTTTTCTGGAGATCAGAGAAAGCCACTCCTTCTCTCCAGGTGGGAGATGTGAGGGATGTGAGGGGCTGACATTACAGAGGAATAGGTTGAGCCCTGGATGCTCTTGTCCTTATCTATAAAGTCCTGCTGAGAGAAGAAAACTTTGGCTTCTTCAATACTGGACTGCCAGGTGCATGAGAAACTGCTTCACCATTTTGCAATGCAGCTGAAAGGAGCTTTTGGGGGACCCACCAGCCAGTCCTTTTCTCCCTCCTCACTGTGGATTGAGAAGGCCAAGAGTTTTCAAGATATCAAGGAGAGCTGAGTTCACCATCACCTCCTTCACGCACCTCGTGACAAAATCAAAGTCTCTGTTGTGCTCCTCCTGGTTGGGACTTTGCTTACAGGAAATTACTGAAGAAAGGGCTGATATAAATAGCCTGGGCTGGGATGACTACATCCTTCTGAGAGAGGCAGAGGAGAGGTGAAACTTGAGGCTCAGCAGCAGGCAAAAAAGTCCCATCCAAGGGAGACAAAGCAGCTTTATGACAGTCTGATGCTGGGGAGATGGGAGGTTGTGCAATTCCATTGCCTTGGTTTTCTGTGCAGAGGGCCCTGGGGAAGCATTGCTGTGTAATTCAGTATGTGATCAGCATCTGAGCTGCTGGGCCAAGGCCCTGCCTGAGCACAGCAAAGCCAGCGTCCAAGCAAACCTCTCTGACCCCCAGCCACTCTCAGTAGGAGCCAATCTGTGCTCCAACCCAACCAACAATAACATGTCATCAACTACAATTTCAAGGGAACTTTTTATTTATTTATTGCTTAAAAGCTCCTTCAATATTCATTGAAAATCCAAACCAAAATATTTTTTGGCAATTCGGAGCTGAAGTTTGATACAGAAAATAACAGGATGTTTAAGCTTTGAAAAATATTCTCTTGCCTGCTTGCTTTTGTTTTTAATGCAACCACTTGGAAAGGCTACTGCAAGAAGAAATTTCCTGCAAAATCTTCCACTTAGGCACAAAGAACAGCCTCCTGCTTTTAAATCAAGCAACAGGTTATGATCCAGTCTGCAATCTTCAACTGGCAGGATCAGTGGCCCAGCCCCAGGAATGCTCAGCCCCTGGCAGAGGTGGCAGTGACACCTGCCCCAATGAAAACCTACACTGTGGAGGTGGGGTGATGATGATGAAGGTCCTGCTTTTCAGGTTTGAGGCACAAGCTCTGTGTCTTCCTGACCTTACCTGAGGTGCTGGCCAGTGGGGGGGTGTCCTCCCCCTGGGCAGCACCTTCCTGAAGAAGTTTCCTCCCCAGGCACCACAGGAACATGGCAAAAGCTGTGCAAGGCAGGTATACAGCAGCCTTGTCTGCTCGCTGGAAGGGAATTCTGTAAGAATGGGAGGAGAAAAAGGATGATGACAAAGCAAAGCCCAGATCCCACACAGCCCTCCCACCATCCTACCCAGGGTTCCTCAGAGGAGCAAAACAGCTGGAGATACCTTATCCTGCAAATGAGAAAAAGTCTGTGGAAATCCCCTTCTGTCCCCAGGGGCAGTGTCTGATCATCACCAAAACAAAGCCTTTCCCAAACCCTTGGGACCACCTCTCTAAGAAGAATCTTTTCCTCCTTTTAAAAGTTAGAGGGACAGGTGACAAGCAGGAGGAGTTCACAGCCCCATCCTATTCCTTCAGCAGGAGCAAGAAGGACCCCAAAAGGCTGCACTGCCAGTGGTGGTGAGGGGGCTATAAATGGCCAAAGGACCCAGACCTGCCTCCCCCGGGACTGAGCCAAGTGCCTGATAAGCTCCAGCATGGCAAAACTTGACATTAATAGTTAAGGTTTGTTATTGTGAGATCTCTGAAAGAGTGTACTGAACAGAAAGAGAAAACCTCTGGGTTTTTTTTTAAATCTCTTTATATGTGTATATCTAGAGTACATCTACTGTTTGTATTATTAGAATTTAATATATATAAATTTTATGCTTGTTTATAGACATAAAACTTTGGTATTCAGTATATTAACCACAAAACCCAGAAATCCCAATTGCCAGCTCAATCATGTACTATCCTGACCACTTAACAGTGCCCACAGGAACTCCAAAGCTAATTTGAATGCTAATTGTCACACTCCTGGGGAGCAAAGACAACACAAACTAACACTTAGAAATTTCCTGTTGCTTCCTAGGAATTCCCTCTATATAGGTGCTTTCTATAAAATGTCCATGTGCTTTCCAGAAATTTCAGTGGGCTTTCTGTGGGATTTTCAGAGAGCTTTCTATGAATTCACACCAGATTCTAGGAACTTTCCATTCATTTCTAGGAATTTCTTTGTGCTTTCCAGGAATTGCAATTGTTCTTTCTGATTCTTCCAATTCTAATTCTTCCAATTCCTTGTTCTTTCTAGGAATTGCAGAGAATTTTGTAGAGACTGTGTAGTGGAATTCGAGGGTGCTTTCTGAACAGTTTGATGTGCTTCCCAGCGATTCCTGCCAGCTTTCGCTCATTTTTCTTCCAGCATTTTCTAGGCCTTTCCCTGCGCTTCCTGAAAGTGCTGTGGAAGGAGGGAGCCTGAAGAAAACTGCTGACATTTCTCCTGATTTCCTGGAAAGGCTCCTTTCCCATCAGGATTTCTTTATTTGAGAACATCATCGAAGCAAGCTGAGTTGGAGAATGAGATGTTTTCAAGGGCTTCTGGCATAGACAGAGGCGATGAATGAAGTCACCCGTTCCTGGCCCCTTTCCATCCATCACATGGAACACAAATAAGTAGCAACTGGGTAATTTGGCACAACTCTGGCTCAAACCATTGCTCTCTCTGTGCCTTGCTGGGACAACTGTAATTCAATGAAGCAAAGCATGGGAGGTGAGAGGGGACATAGGCTTGCCAAAGCTGCTTCTGCCCTTTCCAAAGAGCAGCATTCTGCCTCAGTATCTTATTCACAAATACCAGCCCAGTGCTGGGTGGCCAGGGAGCAGTGGTGAAGTAACTCCCACGGGTCATGGATGCAGCGCTGTTGCCCACTCACCATCTGTCATAGCTCTGCTTCCCATCACCTCGCTCTTTCCAAACTTTTCACCTCTTAAGATGACAATTTTCGTTCTGGTAAGAATGTGCCAGGGTGGGGGTTTCTTTCTGTCACTTAAATATCGTTTTTGATTGCATAAGGAGAAGACTGTCCTCAGATCATGAGCCAAGGGAATGTTGTGCCCTGAACTGCATTCACCCGAGCTGGTGTTGGCAGGTTAAGGTTTGGCTGGGAAATGGTCTTGGTGGAGAGCCCAGCTGGCTGGTGAGATTAGTTTTTGGGACTTGTGTGGTTATCAAGGCTCAAAATCCGGGGTGGGGCGGTGGGGGCAGATGCAAATCTCTGTGTTCAGTTTTGGCAGGCGCCTTTAGGAGCCTGGATAATGGGAGATGGATGGTGCTGTGCTGTGCGGTGGGAAACAAGGCTGCACAAAGGGATACTGAAACCCTGGGCAGGACATCACTGGCCACAAAACGCTGTTTTACTGTGGTTAACACCACTTTTAACTGAAAAAGGGACAAAGCCTCGCTAAGGGGCTTGGCCAATCCTCCTGTTTGCTCTGGAGGCTTCCATGAGGTAAGGGCTCACGGGGCTGGTCCTGGCATCCCTCACGCCGTGCTCGCTCTCGGCAAAGCTCTGCCCTTGCTGCCCAACATCTCCTTCAAACGAGCCTCCCACGATGGGAGGTTTCAAACGAAGCTTCCAAGTTAGAAGGCTCCTGGCCTGCTCAAGGTGCGAAGGGGATCCCAAAGCATTTGTTAAGGCCGTAGATGATTTAAAAAGAAACGAAGCTGCCCCCAAACTCCGCGGGAGCTCCGTGTGAGAACGGGAACTCCCTCACGGCCACCGCGGCACCGCCGACCGCCAGGGGGCGCTGCCCTCCCGCGGGGGAGGCGGGACCCGCCTTCCTCACGTGGTGCGCGCCTTCCCGGGCTGCGATTGGCTGAGATGTATCACGTGCTCTGGAGGGGGCGTGGCGCGGAGGGGCCGCCGTTGCCAGGGAGACACGGACGGTGCGGGAGGGGGGAATGGGAATGGGGTTGGGACAGGGACAGGGACTGGGGCAGTGGGGCGGGGGAGATTGGGATAGGGGGAGTGGAGCAGAGGGGACTGGGATGCGGGTAGTGGGACAGGTGGAATTGGGCAGGGGGTATTGGGACGGGGGAGATGTGGGGCAGATGGGTCAAGGGACCCGTGGGCCGGAGGGATGTGGGTAGGTGGGATGTGGGGGAGAGGGGATGGGGGCAGATGAGACGTGGCAGGCAAACTGTGTTTCTGTGAGTGTGTCCGTGTGTGTGTCTCCTCGTGCTGTTTGGAGATGCGATGGCTGACGGGCTGTGCTGTGTGAGCCCTGTGCTGCCACTGACACCCCCGTTCTTTGCGATTTTACAGCTTTGTCAGCGATGAGACGTAGCAGTAACACTTAGCAATGGGTGACGTTTTAGCCTACGAAGCTGAATTACTTGGACTGGTGAGAGAGGTTGGTTTTCTCTCATTATTTCTTTTCCTTTTGTTGTTGTTGTCGTTGTTGCTGTTGAAATAAGCAAGGCAGAATTTCATAGTTACTTCTATTCAGAGCCAGGTATTGTAACTGTGGTCTGCATTCTGGAGTTTTTATCTGGCCAAGTGTTGCTACAGTGTGAAATCATACTGACTCCTGTCATGCTCTGTAGGTTCAAAGGGCTCAATGTCTGTTAAATGTCAGCAGTCAAACAGCAAATCAGTCCAAAATTATCTATTGTTCATTGGAAATGAGGCCCTCACTAAGGGAAGAATGAGGTTGATTAGATCTGACACCTTTGGGGCTCAGGTCCAGCCTATGGTAAAGGTGAGATCTTTAAAATGTTGCTTGGCTGCCAACTCATTCCGTGTGTGTATAAAATCAGAAGCATATAAAAACCCTAGAGTTGACAAAGCCCAGACAAGTCCTGAGACTACTGATCTCCATGGTTTAATGCCTAAGCAGAATTTTCCAGCTAGGCACTCCTCTACATAAGAGGAAATCGGAATAAAGTGTGAAAGAGTCCTGTGAAAAAGACAGTGAGAGACAAATGTTGGGGCAGGTGCCTCTGTGGCAGTCTGTGCTTCTGGATAAATTTGCTAAAATGGGATGTTTATGAATTGAACAAGGACACAAACTGTGATCTCTGCTGCTTGTTGCTTCCTCATCCCTTTAATTAACCCTGTGTTGGTAGCCTTGCTTAGGGCCCTGAGTGGACCCCAAGCTGAACTGCTCTGCGTGTGATCCATGCTGTGGAAGGTTCCACGGGTGCTGGTGCTGCACAGGGGTGAGCACGAGTGGCAGTCAGCTCTCACCGTGCCCAGCTGTCACCAGGCTGTCTCTTGAAAGCCTGGACAGTTACTGCCTCCCTAAGGAGTCAACCAAATGGCAAAATCATGCACAGCTTAAGTCTTTTTGTGGGTCTCTAAAAACAGATCTAAAAAGAAGTTTAAGTTGTTAATCCCTGCTGTACTATTGTTTATGTTTATTGCGAAGAAAGCAATTCTTGTTCTCTGTGACAAAGTTGGGAATCCATATTGAGTTTGCAAAACAAAGTGTGATGCCTTGCCTCAGCAGCCTATGACTAAAACTCCTGAGATGAGGGGAGGAGGGGAAAGTTGTGTCTAATACAGTGGGTGTACACTGTGGGAGGAAGAGGCAGGGCTTTTTATTTCTCCCCTAGAGGTACAGTGCCTGCTGAGTTGGTCATTGGCTTGCACAGCTTCATGTGAGGGCTCTGGTTAAGAGCTCAAGCTGTCTGACTGCTGTGCCCTCTAAGAACATTGTTTGCAAGGAAGTCATTTACTTGTTTCTTCAAACAGAATATAGCATTAATGGATTTTAATTCATTTCCTTCTTTGGTAGAATGAAATTACTGACTAAACCAAGGGGCATCATTCTTTCAGAGGGGATGCACTTGGTTGTCTCTAGGATGCAGGAGGAAGTTTAGGGTCAGTATTTTCCTAGCACAAGATGTCAGTTCTTGGTTTGTCAGTGTTAAATTTTTGGCACTTATGGATCCTTCTATACAGAAACTTTAGTATTTCATGGGTCATTTATTTTGAAGCATTAATCACCTAAAAAAATTTTTATTCCTGCATGTTTTTGTCTTGTAGTATTTGGATTTCGCAGAATTTGAAGAAACAGTGCAAGTATTTAAAAAGGAATGTAAAATAAAAGGGAAACAACTACCTAAACCAGCAAATGTTTCCTCAGAAGATCCAGTGCCTGTTCAGGTAATGCATCATTTACACTGAGTAATGCTAGAAACAGTTAGAGACCACTAATGACCTGTGAGTTACTGCAGCAATGAGATTATCTGAACTGTCTGAACTGATTCTTGATTATTTGAAGAAGTCTTCCAGCAGTTTTCTTCCAGTACAGGAATGTTCATGTTTGGGTTTGGGTTTTTTTCAGAACTCCAGTCCTTTTGAACACAGTAGTTTTGATTCACACTGCTTTTAGTTTTTAGCTTACCATAGGTTGACAAGACTGATTTTCACATACTCTGGGCATTTATTTTTCCCTTACAGTAAAGCTGGGTTCCCAGAACTTCTTGTATTCATGGTTGCTTCAAGGTCTCAAAGATATTAAAAATACCTGGTGAAAGAATACTTAGGCAGTCACTGAACTGTGATAGATTTTTGGATAAAACCTTTAATTCGAGATTTTCAGATGGCACTTGAATTCTTCATTCGCTAAACTACTGCTGAGAAAATGTAGCTCCTCTGCACTTGTTTTTTCACTGAATGCCTCTCCCCTTCACAGGAAGATCTGCTTGCAGCATTTGAAAGTGGTGAGCAGAAAGTTTTCTTCCAGCTCTGGGAGGAGCACGTTTCGTCTTTGGTGCAGGACAATGACCTGGTTGCTCAGAAGTTGGAGTTCTATCTTCACGTACACTTTGCCACCTTCCTCTTGAAACACACTAGGGGAAAGCCTGTAAGTTTGGTTCACAACTCAAACCTCAAATTGCTTTTGTTTGTTTTGCTTCATTTATCTGTCTTTAGTGTGAATGAGGATGGGAGAGTTTCTAAGAATTCCCGGAGCATGTATCCAGTTTTGGGCCACAATCTGTATTTTAGTTGAACCAGAAAGTTTGTATTGTGAAGTACAGAGATGGAAGTGGGAGCTGCCCTCATCTTGGAGCTCCTGAAGTATTTTAACTTGGAAAATAGTAGCATGCCAATACTTTCACATCTTTAATTGCATAACATAGAAGATTCTTAAAACACTTACTTTGCTTCCAGTTTGGACTGTAGCTGTGAGTTAAAATATAATAATTTCTGATGAAATGGGGAAGCTTAATCACAGAATCATAGAATTAACTGGGTTGGAAGAGACCTCCGAGATCATCAAGTCCAACCCTCAATCCAACCCCACTGTGATTACCAGATCATGGCACTCAGTGCCACATCCAGCCTCATCTTAAAAACCTCCAGGGATAAAGAATCCACCACCTCTGGGCAGGCCATTCCAATGCCTGATCACTCTCTCTGTAAAGAATTTCTTTCTAATATCCAACCTAAACCTCCCCTGACAGAGATTAAGCCCGTGCCTTCTTGTCCTACTTCTGATTGCCTGGGAGAAGGGACTGACCCCCACCTGGCTACAACCTCCTTTTCAGGTAGTTGTAGAGAGTGCTGAGATCACCCCTGAGCCTCCTCTTCTCCAGACTAAACAACCCCAGCTCCCTCAGCCTCTCCTCACAGGACTTGTGCTCGAGTCCCTTCCCTTGCTCTTCTCTGGACCCGCTCCAGCACCTCAATGTCCTTCCTGAACTGAGGGGCCCAGAGCTGAACACAATACTCAATACTGAATCTTGACCAGCTCAATATATCATATTGAAAAATATAATTAATTCCAAGCTGTTATAAAATAAAATCTCTCCTACATGGGAATTTTATGATGAGAAGACATTTAGCCTGTAGCCAGCGGGATCAGCGGGGGTTTAATAGCTCGTGCCTTTCACCTGTCAGCTGCTACAGGAGTATTTGGATGCTTTTTGTGTGTTTTCCAGTTTCTAAGGAACTTCTGTTCTGTTCTGTGTGCCAGCTCCCCTTGTGGTTCTCACTTATCACTGAAATAAAGCATGTCTAGTAACTGTTTCCTCTTTGCCTGAGTATGGAAATGTCATTTTGCTTTAGAAGTCTAGCCTGAAGTGAGCAGGAATGATTTACATACGAAATCAATTGTCTGTCTCTTCTTTTGTTGGGCCTACATGACAGAAACAACAACGTTGGTTTAAATTTTCTTTTATGACTGGTGAAAACATGATACAATGTTCTTTAGTTAAATAAATGTGGAGTTTTGGAATATGAAACTTGATATTAATATACTTGAGTCTCAGCTTATATTTTCCAGCTTTGCAGTGCATTCAGAGTAGTAGTTTTCTAAATTAAATATGCTGCTTTATTTCCTAGGACAAAGCTAAACTTAAGGAAAGGATTTCACATTTTAAGGCATACCTGGAAACAAAAGGAGCTGCCCTGAGCCAGACTACAGAGTTTCTTCCCTTCTATGCTTTGCCTTTTGTTCCAAACCCCATGTCACACCCTTCTTTTAAAGAACTTTTCCAGGTAAGTGTCTGTGTTGCAGAGATGGTATTTATGATGACTTTTCTCATGGGGTGATAAATATTCAATAATGTTTAGTTTGGTATTTGTTGTTTCCTTTAGCAGAAACTGTACAATCCTGAAAAAACATATATTTGATGGAAGGAGGGTTGTGAGAGTGCTGTCAATGACAGGGTGCCATCTTATATATGTATTTTATATTTGCTTGAGAATTGAGTGATATGCCAGCTTTGTGTCCATAAATTAGCATTGCTGCCTCTCCTTTTCCACACATCCCTGAAATATGGATGCTTCTGGAAATGATTAGTAGTTCAAGTCAACTTACTTGCTCTGATGATGTTACCCAAGACCACTATCTGTGTATATATAAATGAATTTAAAGCATGATATTTAGGCGTAAGGAGACCAAAGCAGTTTCATTTAATGTGGAAAAAAGAAAGTCGATTTAATAAGTAATCCACTTGTAACAGAAGATGAATCAGTGTCATCTGTGTTCTGAGACTCTTCCCCCTACCTCCCAAATAAAAGTGCTGGAAGAGCATAGCTCTGCTTAATGGTTTGGAGACTCTTGCCACAGGCATTTTTCCTAGTTAGTTTTTTTTGTTAAATATGTTTCAACCTTTACATTTGAAGGAATGTTTCAGAGTTGAGTTCTTAGACTTGCATGTGCAAAGTGAGAAGAGAGTGCAGAAGTTCACGTGCTTGAATTTCAAAATAGATCTCCTTTCCAGGTGCACTTTCAGTTACTCAGCTGTTGAAGGGGTAATAAACACCCTTACCTTGACCACTCTTGGTACTGTGCGAGTGATGATTAATTAGGAGATGACTTTCAGAGCTGGGGCTTGATGTTCCAAAATGTTGGTGGCAGTGCCTGTGGGGAAGGTTATCGCTGGGAATGCTTCCCTGTCCGACCACATGGGCAGTTGTGCTGGCCTGGCTGAGCAGCTGTGGGCAGCCATTGTGGTGCACGGAGATGCCTCCAGCCTGCATTGCTGTCACACTCTTTTTGATATCAAATCAAAGTTTAAGTGATATTTGCCCTAGGGCTGACTTTGGATGTACCAGCTGTTGAGGAGCTCCAGTTTATCACCAAAAAAGGCATATACTGCCATTTTCCTTAGGGACTAACTATAAATAATGAGATGGACTGGTTGACCTCAGAGATGAGATATGCCTACTCTTTTTTAATTACACTTAGCAGCTTTTTTTTTCCCAGTACCTTATCTAAGACAAGATCCTCAGGTTTATTCATAGTAACCCAGTGTCCAAGCTCTTAGTCCACAGTCACTCATATTTTCTTGTGGGAATTGTACAACTCATTCCATGTTAATGTTGAAACACAGATTGTTTCGTGTTTGAGAAAGAGCAGCAGTGAGTCAGTAGCCTAGTAAGCAGTGTTCTGATGGCATATATATTTTTCTCAGGCATCTGATGCTTTATATAGCTGGAGTTCCTGTCAGTTTGTGTAATACATTTTGAAAAATAATATACACTCCTCTCTGTAGGAGACAAGGTTCCTTTGGTAATATACAGCGTGCTGTGGTACACCACTGTCTGGGTACTGAATTGGTAAATGCAGCAAGTAAATTCTGTACATTCTCCAGCGTGGTGAAATAAGGGCAAATCTGAGCTGCGAGAACAGCTTACAACACAGACATATACAGCAGTAAATTTAGGAAGCTCCTGCTACTTTTTGGAAGACAGAGCTTCTTCATCTGTTGGCTAGCTTCTCCTCAAGCAGAAACTGGCTTCACTGAAGGTGTGAAATAAAAGGAATGAGTATTTGGTGGATTCCTAGGTGTATTTTGGCTTTTTTCCTTAGCTGTTATTTTCTTGTGCCTATGAGACACTACGTCAGGCAGAAGTCAGCATTCCAGTTAAGGGTGCTGGTCTGTTATGTTGGTCTATTTTTTGTATATGAGTTGTTTTTCTCCAAATGCTTATTTTAGAAATGTTGTACCCTGATGACCCATGTCACTTTATGATGCTTGCAACAGTTATTGACAAAATCTACAATTCCCAGATCTTGTTAGGAGTGAAAGATGATGAAAACTGAGCACTGCAAAATTATTAATTTTGTACTCTATTTAATAAATGTAAAATTCATATTAAATTAATATTAATTTTTTATCTTTTGCTCAAGTTGCTTGTATTTAAATGTGCTTCTACTTTCGGGGCAGTTGTTACATGTGCATGCAAGGCATCAACAGTATTTGATAGTTTTGCACTTGAAATAAAACCACACTGTGCTTCTAGAACTCTTGTCTAGAAATAATCCTGAACTCCCCTCTAACTTCTTTACACTTTTATGGGTAGTGAGCAAACACATTCACTTAGCAGTGAAGGGGAAATCTTTTCAATCCAATGCTGGCTGCCTTCTAGTGGAAGGTTGCTGTGATCCAAACAGTACTTTCTGCAGAGTGTACATATTTGGTGAACAACTGTCATTATTTGTTTTTCTTTTCAAGGATTCTTGGACGTTGGATTTGAGGACAAGATTGGAAGAGTTCCTGTCTCTGACTCTCAAAGTCAGACAGACTCCTCGGCTTCTCACTTTATTTGTATCCTTTTGAGGAAACTCTTTGAAGATAATTAGAATTACTATAAAGAGGCAATATAATTTATTGCAAGAGTGTGTGCTGATAAGATTTACTGCAGAATTGCAGTAATGTTACGGTTTAGTGTTTTTATGATAGGAAACATTGTTTATATTCCACATTCAAAAAATATTTTGTAAAAGTTGTGTAAAGACAATGTGTAGATACATAGACAGATGTGAACCTGTACTTTTGTCATATGACCATTCTTTCTTCCATGTATAAAGTACGGGATACCCAAAGGCCCCAACCTGACCTGACTTCTTTCTCAGTGTTTCTAAAGCTGTCAGTCTTTTAAATTAGCCAGTTCAGGGTCTGACTGAAAGTTTTCTAGGGCTTTTAAGGATTCCAGAAATTATTGCTTCACTCAGTGCTTCAGACTGTGTTGTTTTTCTAACAATCCTGCTTAAGCTGTGTTGTCAGAGCTAATTTGCAAGCTAACTAGCTATATGGCAAATTTTCTTCTCCAGTTTTGGTCTGTACAGTTAAAGATAAGGTAGGCAGAATGGAACTGGAGTCTCTGTTTCTGGCCTTTTTTTTTTTTTTTTTTTTTAATTCAACATAGGTTGAAAGTCTTTTTCCTGCTATATTCTACTTTTTTTCCAAAGCAGCTTGTTGCAATGGTGGTATTGAATAATGAGCTGGAAATCACATCCCTTCTATTTCATTCCTGCTCATTTACCAGGATGGGGAGAAGTGATGAACACTGCTTTCACTCCCATATTACAGATGTTTGTGTGGGACTCTGCCATACAACAGTTGAAGAATATTTTCTCTTTGCTTATTCCTCTTTATAGAATAATAGATTGAATCCTAATTAAGCCTTGGATATTTCTTAGGTATTAAAACTTCACTTGCCTTAAAACACTTGTGTGTTGATTTTATGTAAAATCAGCAGTTCAACTTTTCATTTTGGTGTTAATGCAGTTAGACTGGAGTTACTGTATCTTATCCATCAGGGCTGGATCTAATGTCTTTAAAGGTCAACCAAAGGTCTCAACTCTCTATGCCACATTCTGCTTTGTGCAGTTAAGAGATTTTCATGTATTTATTATTGATTAATTCATTCTTTGTCTCCTGTGGCACATCAGATATTGGGCTGTTGCCTGGAACAGCAGGAATATTTGGCTTGGTTGAGTTTGCCAATTGGTTGAGTTTCTGATTCTGTGTCACTGGAACAAACATGTATTGAAAGGATGCACATTTTCCTGAACTGCTCCTACTTGTGCAACAGAAAGAGAGTGGACAGTGCAACAAAGGTAAATGCTGAGATGTGGTAAGGATAATCTGGAAGATTATTAGGGGCTGTGATAGTAGCAAAAGGCATGCCTGCAGGGATGGGGAAACTAGTAATGCATGGCAGAAAGTCCTTTGAAATCCAGACCCCTGCCTTGGGGTTATTGCTGGACTGCTTGAGCCCAGAGGGTTGAGCATCAATAGCCATGTACTAGAAATGGGAGAGGGCCAAGTAGTGGGATTTGTATTTAATTTCTATTCTGTCCTGAAATGTGGTAAAAAATAGTGGAGAACTCCATAAGAAGTGCATACCAGCTCTTCACTTTTACTTCTGATGAAAGTTGCCTCAAGTTGCTTTCCCTTACCTGCTTGTGCCTGTCTGTATCTTGCACATTTTAAATCTCATACAGTTGTTCTGATGACTGTCTGATGATCTTAGACCAAGTTGATTTCACTCATCTTGTTTAAACTCCTAAAATAGTACATATCAGTATCTCCTGAATAATAATGTGTTAATTTAAATGTGACTGGCTGATGTGTTGCATTTTGAGATGCTCCTTATATGTGCTAAAGTGTGTATGTGACGTGGGGCCCTTTAAAAATAATTAGTCCCATTAGATGCTGATGACAGTTGAAATGTGTGCCTTTAAAAATCAGTTCAATAAATAGAACTTAGGTTTCCAATTCCTTGCGTTCACTTTTTCACGTGACTTTCTGCATACACTTTATAGGTAGAGACTTGTATGAGACCAGTTTAAGAACCCAGTTCTGGGTTCTTAAAGTAACTTTTCCTGTCAAGTTAATTTAACCTGTAGGTTTATCCTGAGGATTTACTCTTTGTAGATTGAATTAAAGAGAAAGACTTCCTTCTAGTGTGACTTCCATGTATTTTCTTTTTTATTTTGAGCTTTGTATTGCATTAGACTTTCACTGAATATTAGAAAGATCTTTGTGGATTTTTATTTTCCAGAAGTTACTCTTTTTCCTCACGATGGACTTTCCTGAAGGCAATAATTCCATACTTTGATTAAAAAGAAATTACTACATGATTGGGTCTGAGTTATTTTGGGCCTAATTATTTTTCACTTGGGAAGGTTTTGTACTTTCTACAAGTATGGGAACTGTCATGGAATTGAATCCTTGCTGGCCAGCCTTAATTTGTAGATCTGTTATGTGCCTTGGAGGTTGAGTCAGTTTGGACTTTTCATAAAGGTTACTTGAGGACTGTCTCTCATGAAAGTTTTGGATCTGAGAGGTTATTTTTGCAGTAACTGCTCAGCTCATGCGGGATCCACAGCACTTGCTCTCTGCTGGAGAATGTTTCCTTTATCAGTCAAGAGGAAACACAAAGAAAATTTATAGGCAACACATGAATGAAGAGCAGTATGGCAGAGTCCTGGAAACTGCCTTTTATAAATAGTTGCCAGTCATCAGTCTGACACGCTGAAGTACTTCAGGGTTGGGTGGGGTGGTGCAAATGCTCTTGCGGGTGCCCTGGAGGGTTCTGTGTGTTTACCTTGCCTGATTTACCTGCACAGTCTGGCTTTTCACCCATTTGCTAAAAAGCTTCAATCCCTATATGACTTTCAAAGCTATTTGTGTGGCAGTGGTGCTTAACTTACAGCTCTCCCATATGTTTTCAGTTTGGCTGGAAAGGAAGGAATTGCAGAATGGTTGGCATCTTGCACAGAGAGCCTCAGACCTTCTTTGTGTCCTCTCTGCTAACAGGACTGGAGGGAATGAAGTGTTTGGAAGCGTGTTCAGCTGCTCTTCCCTTCACTGCCTCATTACAAATCTCTGGATGAGTTCACAGCGACTCTTCTACTGTTTCAGGGAAGGGGAGAGGGGGAGAAGTGTGTCAGGCTGCTGCACGAGAGAAAGTGAAGTGTGACCTACCTGTCTGTCAAGATTTGCTAAAGTCTAAATGACTGTTGATGTGGAAATATGTCAGTTCAGAATATGAATAGCAGTTTTTATGGAGATGAGGTAAGCCAGAAGGAGACTCCTGCCTCTTCTAAGAGCAAGGTTTCAGTGTCACCTAAGGAGCCCCAGTGTCTGACAGCTCTTGGGACCTGCAGCTCCTCTGCTCAGAGCTCCGCTGCAGTGTGTGCAGGAACTCAGCCTTGGGCCAGGGTCAGTGCTTCTAGCAAAGTATGTGAGGGTGGGCTGAGATTAAGAGAGAAAGAGACAGAGCAAGCTCAAGTTCAAGAAGCCTGTTTTAGGTGTAAGTAAGCTGTAAAGGAAAACAACCAATCTCTCACTTAGAGCAAAAAGCTTGTTGTGGAATTATGTACATATGTGTAACTCCATGGCTGCTTGTAGGAACTGGAGTTAAAAAACTCAACAATTACACACAAGAGAAAGCAGGCAAGAATACTTGTAGAAACATGCAGTAGTTCAGCTGATACCTGGTGCCAGCATTTTCATTTGGCAGAGTGACAAGCTTTACTGTGTGTTACATGCTCCTACACCAGGAGGTTAGTTCTCCGCACTGTATTTTCCCCTCTTTTCCTCCACATATGAATAATGTTTCATGTGAATAATAAAGGTCTAGAGAACCTTTTTTTCCTTCATCTTTGATAAGCTTATCATATGTAAAAAGCATTTGTCAGTGTTGGGAATTGTGTTTGGGAGAGGAAAGAGAGAAGCCACATGTCTCAAGTTACTCTCTGAATCCTCTTATGGAGCAGTTTGATCACTTCTGCAAAGTGACATAAATGTGAACTGAAATGCCTCTGAAAGGTACCAGTTCCTTTTACCCAATCTTGACTCAGAGGGTAATGATTTAACAATTCAAACAAGCCATTAAATACTGATTTTTACCTGGGCTAGGAGCTCCCTGATCTGTCTAAGTGAATGCTTTTATCGGGATGTGACAGGAGTGCAAAGGGGAAATGGGGCAGAGCTGGACCAGCTCTTCCAACAGCCTTCTGTGCTTGGAACAGGTACTTGTCAGTGATGATCTGCCCTGAGTTTTGGTTATGTAGTGTTTTTCCTACTGACTCTAGTTGGAAGACGGATTTTCATCACTGGAAATTTTACCCGCTGGGCAGTGAAGAGCAGGCAAATTGTGAAAAGGTTTACGCTTTGTGATTTGGTGCTTCCAACTTTCCTCTGAGTGGAAGTCACGCTCTAGATACATCCATTGGAAATTTCTGAATCAAATGTGTTGTGTCACAGTTAAATAAAAATATATTCCATTTGGTCATCTAGGAAATGGAATAAAGTACTGGAGTGGCTGAGTTTTGTGCCATGGTTGCTCTCAGAATCTGTTAGTTTAGAAAAATATTCTTACTTTGGAGCTGTATCTTATTAAAGTTGTGGTAGCAGTTTAGCAGTAGGGGCTCTGGAATAGGGATAAAATCAAAGTTGAATTATTATTATCAAGGCTGAATAATTTGTATTGCCTTTGGAAGCTATCAACTTCTCTGTTTTAAGTTAATGAATATTGGTTGCAGTTGAGATGGTTTCAACAGCTTACAGAATTGTAAAACGTTTGGTGCTCTTAGCAGGATTGCTTAATGTTATAGGAGCTGTTCTAGTAGTGTTTTGTTTGTTGTTTTGGGTTTTTCTTTTCAAGTGCATTTGCTGGATTTGAACAGGATTTGTGGCTTGTCACAACTTCTATTGTTATTTCACACCGAATTTGGCTCCCTCCTAGAAAGTGTAAGAGAAATACCATTAAGGTGGTTTGATTTGCAGCTTGGTATCAGGTGTCATTGACAAACCCTGGAGGTACAGAATGTTGTGGCTCATGAATGGCTCTCAGAAAGAAGCCGCCCTTAGAGGGGAGGAGGCTTTGAGAGTAAAATAATTGTGTGGGGTTTTTTCTCTGTTAACTTTTAGAAGTAAGAAAATGTACCTTCTCTGTATTCCATGTTTAGTTTTAAGGTTGTCAATTTATAGCTACGGTTTATAGCTAAAGTCTATTAACACATGCTTTCTGTAAAAGATCCCATGAAAGAGATAATTTTTCTTAAATTTTCTGATAACAAAAACGAGCTGTTCTGCCATCTACAGCATGTAGTATAAATGGGATAAAAAATACAGCATATTTCAAAAACTCCAAAATCTGTAAGATGTGACCAATTTTTAAAGCAGTCTCCACATCTGAAATCACAGAAGAAGCCGTGGTGCTAACACAGGAGTTCCACTCCCTGTTTTCCCCTCTCCTGAGGATTGCCACCCTGTACCACCTGCCATGGCACAGCAGAGCTTTGTGCCCCAGTTCAGAGAGCAGTAGAGCAAAGGGACAGATTTTGAATAACTACACCTTAATTCTCCAGAGCTTTTTTATCACAGCTGTAAGGTGTTATATGCTGAGCTTTTTTAAACTCAGAGATAACTGTGCAGTGAAACTTTGTACTGCTTAGGATTCTCCAAACGAAGATCCCAGATTTCTGCTTACATCGGTTATGTTTCCCAATGCTTCAGTGTTCCAGGGACATATGACCTACATATTTATGGAAAGAGATAGTGAGTCATGAGAGAGGGTAATGGTTTCCTAGAAGATCATGGGCAAAATCTGTTCAAAGCCGGGAACAGGATCTAGTTTTTTTGGTTTCCAATTTTGCATCTTGGCTCTTTTGTTTTTCTTCCCATTGGGTCTATTTGGACCTAAACTGTGTCATACTGGGCTGTTTGGAAGGCTCTACCCTCACCTAAATTTTTTTAAAATCTGTGAGAAGGAATTCTACTTCTGTCTGAAACTCTGTAGTCGAGCTGATTCCTGCCCATTGTTTAACAGAAAATCCTATGGTAAATATTCCCTGTGTTTGCAGATGGGCCCCATGCCATTTTTCAAAACACTAAAGCAATACTGGCTTCTCAGCAACCTAATTTGAAACATAATGTTCCAGCAAAATACAAAACATCAGCAGTAACAATAGGATTATTGTACCTCCCTTCATAGTTTTGTCTGGTCACAGAGATGTGCTGTGGTACACAGCTCCAGATTCCATGCCTGAGTTCCATCTAGAACTGATTTTGGCTGTGTCTGACACTGGGGTGAAGTTACAGATTCTGAAACTCAGTTTGTTTTGGTCTGTAAAGTAATTGAACATGAAGGAACAAAATGTGTCAGCAATGTAACAGCTATTATTATTAATTTATTTATTGAAAAAACCACAAATTTGAGTTATTTTCATAAACTGAAGGTACTAAAGGTGAGTGATACAGCTTACCATCAACCAGAGTCACCTGAAAAATTTTTTGAAGTAGAGAGTTCTCTGCAACTTCAGTGAATTCAGTTGAAGGAAATAACAATTGAGGAATTGGATAAGTTGAATGTTTTTGGGTTGGATTTGGGGTTCTTTCGTTTTGTGAATGTTACCATTTTCCCTAAAAAATTGAAGACTTAGCACTACATAACCTAAATACCAGTGGTCAATTCCTATACATTAACTGGGTAAAACACCCACCCTCACAGTGTAATCTAACAAACACTGGCTTGAATCCCGGGGTAGTGTCCTTCTCCTGTTTTGGTGTTTTATCTTTGGAGTGGCTACTTGACCTTTCCAGTTGTTGGAAATGATAATGTTTTCTACTCTGTGTTACTTCAGTGAATGTCACAGATAGTGCATGACTGAGTCCTCTGCAGACAGCAGGTCCAGTTCATCAGCTGTGTGTTGTCATTGGTTCTTCTGATTCCATGGCCAGAGCCTTGTTTTGTCATGGACAGCCTGGAACTTCTCCTAGTAACAGACCTTTAAACCTGTGTCTTCTTCACAAATGTATTCAGTGATGTTTACTGTCTAATAGTTGTGTTGCTGCTGTTACTGGGAATCAATTGTTTCTTTGGTGATTAAGGCTTAATAAATAGTTGTAGCTGTTGTGATGAAATGGAATCACAATAGAGGTGCTGAATTATCCTTACAGCGAAATTCCACGCCTTGGAAGTTGAAGTTGTGCCTTCAGGGCAGTGAAAATGCTTGTGGGTTCTCTCGTCCTTTTGTTTGAAAAGGTGATGCTATTTCTGTTGTGATTATTCTCTTGACAGAAATGTTGCAACATCTTCATCAACAGTTAGTGGAGTCTGAGCAGAGGACCATGATCTACCTGAAACGATTTAACAAAATGCAGGCAGACTACCACAATCTCATTGGAGTCACTGCAGAGCTGGTGGATTCTTTGGAGGCCACAGTCAGTGGCAAGATGGTAAGTGATGGCTCAGATGTGTGCTTGCTTCCACACCCCCCAGAAAAGGGAGATGAAAATGTGAATTAAGGTTCATAGTTATGAGCATTTCTGTCACTACTGTGTCTCTTTACTGATGAAACACAGCACTTTAGATGAGAGATCCTGCCTTTGACACTGTGTGGAAGGATAAATGTAGTGCAGAAGATGAGTTGAATTGTGCTGGCTCAGAGATCTTGAAAAAACTAATCACCATCTCACAAGACACCTCAGATCTCTTGTGAGAGTCCCCTTTTGAGCTGTGGCATCAGCAGTGATTAGAGGGTATTTCTGTGACTCCTGACTGCAGTCCAGCCCATCAAACTGTTGTTGTATGTTTAAAATTTCTGTCAGGTCTGTTTTAAGTTTCACAGTGCTGGAAACAATCTTCTCATCCAAAATTTTGATGAGAAAAAGCCTTGCTCTCTGTTCTGCTAAGTAAACTTGTTAATTTAATTGGTAAAGGGGACTGGGGTAGGAGTGAATGAGTTACCATGTGAAATGGGCCACATGTATGTGACTGAAGAAGGTAGAACTTTCTTATAGGTATTTTTTATACAAAGTTTATTGGATGTTTCCTCTGTTGTGCTTTCTTCTCTGGGAGTGTGCCTCCTTGCTATAACTTCTGTGTAACCTGAAGGTTATTTTTATGGCAGATGTTAGTGGCCTCTGGATGGTTTTAAAGGAGTTGTGAATTGTTATCAGGAAGAATGAGCTGGGGTTTCCTGTGCTGCCTGTTGAAAAGTCAATATGTACCTTCCTCCTGCCATCAGAAGGAACATCTTGTGGTTTGCTACTGTGCATCTGGGATCTCTGACTGCTCGCTATTTACTGCAGGGAAGAATTTGCCTGTAGGTGTGGACTATGCTTTACAGCAGATTAGGAAAAGTATCTGCTCACATGGGCTTCGAAAACAATAAGAAACACATAGTCATTCATTTGCTGCCTCCCATTTCACACCTCAGTGCTCTCCAGAGTGATATCCAATTACCTTCTGTAGGGGAAGAATCAGGCGCTGGTTCTCGTTTGTTGCAGATGCTTGTTTTAATTTCCTTTGTAAACCTTGTGCGGGGCAGTCATTTAATCCTTCCCAAGTGTGTCCAGCTGAGGGTGCTCTTCTGTTGTGAATCTTGGTTTCTGTCATTTCTGAATCCAGAGTGGAGTTGGGTACTGGATAAAGTCATGCTGAAGCTGCAGCATTCAGAATTTGAAGGGGTTTGTTGTCTTGCTGTAGGTCTGGGAATATCAGAAGTGGCCCCATTTGTATTTCTGTAATATATATTTCGGTGCACTTGCCTCTGCTCTGGGGAAGTTAATAACTGTTCTGAAACTGTGGTGTAGATTTCCCAAAACAAAAACCTAAACCCACTGAGATGTTTTGCATTGAAAAGCGAAGTGCTGTACTGTGTAATTCATATTTATACTCTCTGCTGTACAAGACAGTTATGCAAGTTCTGCTCTCTAGCTAGACAACACATTGTTCAAAGCACAAAACTGCTTCATTTTTGAATTTGATTTGATTTTGAACCTTTTGGTTGAGGAAAATCTGTATGGAAACATAGGAGTTTGTAGTTTTTTTCTTGACTCTCTGAAAGTGGTGACCATTAGTCTTGTGAATAGCATAACAATTCCCAGATAAAGAGAATTTACAGTTATTTTAATTTCTGAACAGAACAGTAGTTACAGTATATTCCTTTTGCTCTCGTCGATGAGTCTCAGGTGTGTGATTTCTTACTCTCTTTAAAAAAATCAACCAAACAACCTTTAATAACGAAACACTTGTCTGGTAGAAAGTGTAAGTTTTATATAATCCTGTTCTCCCTTTGTTTCCTAATTTTTAGATCACGCCAGAGTATCTTCAAAGTGTTTGTGTTCGCCTGTTCAGCAATCAGATGAGACAAAGTGTAGCACAGAGTATCGACTTCACCAGGCCTGGCACTGTAAGTATTGACGCTTGGGATTTTTACAGTAACTGTCTCAATAGACAATACTGCTTAAGCTGCATATTGAACAACAAATGTGAGATGGTAAAGACAAGACATAATGCGTTCAAGCTTATATAAGAACGTGGCAATTCATAGTTTTGTGGATCTCAGCTCCTGGTGAATGACATGGTTATGCATTCGTAGCTGCATAAGGATGATTAATTCTGTTGTTGTGAGGACAGTAAAACTTGTATCTGTTAAAATGCTAACTGAATGTTTTAAAAAAACCCAAAAATAAACCCTAAAGCTAATGTTCTGAGTGGGTTTGGTGGCACATCTTAGCCAGTTTGATTTAGCTAAAAGGGGGAATGGTTGCTCAGCTCTGTTCCTTTTCTGCTGTCAGGGATGTTCCTGTAACCCTAGGGAGAACTGGCTTAGCCAGCTAAAGGAGAAGCATCACACAGGATCATGAGAGCAAATGAGGAAAAGAGGAGGAAGGGAGGACTTCCCTTTTCAGTAAGAGCCAGTTGTTAGATGAGCAGTTAGATGGTACACCAAAGCCACCTTATTGATTTACATGATGGGCTTTTAATATTCTATCTAAGAATCTTTGATCTTATTGATAAGCAGCTCAGGATCCCTGGGGTTGGTTTTTTCCCACTTCACCAGCCTCTGGTTTCTTTTCAGATGACTGCACTATACCTCACTCATTAATATTCTGCTCCATCTCTTCTGCCCGAGTGGGGAAGAGGCTTTGGGGTTATTTTTCAGCAGCAGAACCAGTTTAGGATAGTTTCTAATGTCTATGAAACTATTCCTGTGAGATTTTAAATGACTTAATGATGGCAGAAGTGCTACAACCTTTTTTAATACCTTGCCTGTTGAAGTTATTCAAATAAGTGTTAATATTAAAATGACATTAAAATATTTTAATAATAAAATATTGTGTGCCATTGTTTTACAAAGGCAAGCCAAAATCATGAACTATGCTTGTTGGTTTTGCTGTGGCAGGTGTTCATGTGTATTTGTAGTACAAGAGCTTGGTGAACTGTCAAAGGAAAAGCAGAAGAAAATAAAATTCCTTATTCTAGCCAAGGTTTTTAATAACAATGACACTACGGGTACGTTTTGTTCCTCTTGGAAATCTGTTACAGAAAGATATGGAGATAATAAAAATGTTCCCTTTTCTCCGCTACATGCTAATATTTTCAGATATAAATATTATTCCTCATTGCTCTTCATGCTGTTTTAAATGCCTTCACTTTCCTGTTAATGGTCAGAACTCCTCTCTCTGACTTGCCACAAATTTAGGAGGTGCTCTCTTAGGCAGTCTGCAAAAACTGCTACTGCAGGGTTTGAAGAAGGATCTAGGATCTGTTTGGCTGCTGCCTCAACATTATGGACTGTCTGCAATTCCTCTCTGCTCAGATTTATTTCTGAGACAATGCATTAGGTACCCCAGTAGTTTTCTGTATTTTTACCACCTGATGTTGGGGTTGTGTGTGTCTCCCCTTCCACATACTGACATAACCTGTTCTGTACAGCCTCTTGCCCTCTTCTCTCTGTTCCTGCTCTCTGCTTGCATCAAGACTTTTCTTTTTCTCCTGTGCTTTCAAGGTGCTCCATTTCCCCAGGGTTTTGTTCATAATTTTTTTCTTTCTATTATAAATTGATCCTTCAATCTCCTGAACCCTTTTGGAAAGGGGCCAGAGGGAAGAGTGTCACCCTCATTCAAGGTGCTGACTTGTTTCTTTATCAACTCTACAGAGAGTGCAGAGTGGCTGGAGCTGTGTCTTCTCTGACAAAAGCTGGCTGGGTTGTTGCTAGACTGCATATTTTTCTGTACACCTATCACAGAGCTATTTTAACTTAAACATCTGTCCTTGTATGGTTTAGCATTTAGGTATAGGCATGTTTTCTTCTTTGTGAAAAAAGAGACTTTTAAGAATTTTAAGACAGTAAGTGATCATTGAAGAAGTGTGTAGGCAGCAGAGTATGACCAGTATTTCAGCCAGAATCTCTGTCATTGGAGGTTTTTAAGAACAAGGTTGACAAAAGTTACCATTCACAAGGAGTGGTTGATGCTGCCTGACAGCATTAGGTGACCACTCACTCTATTACAGCCACACCACTTCTGTTTGCTTCTACTAAAAAATTCTCATCTGTGAAATGATTACTGATCCTGTGCATTATGTTTATTTACTTCTTCTGCTCTAAAAGTGTCTCTAAAAGCATTTATTCTCCAAAAGTACCTTTTCCACTGTACTTAAGACACTGCAGCCACTTTAACACAGTCTCCAGCTGTGCAGATAGGTTAGAGAAAGATGATGTGTTGGTGGTGGATTGGTGGATTTTTTTCCTGCTGGAGGTAAATCTTTGCCTCTCTTTTGTCCCAAATTAGCTGGGTTAAGCTGAGTAAAGCTGTGTCTTTCTAGCACAGTTGTATCTATTTTTATACTGGGCTTTACTAGCATAACTATTTCTGTGTGACTTTGTGGCTCCTTTACCCACACTATTTGAGGTAGTTGCTGTGCCAGCCAAGCTCTCTGGTGAAGGACCAGTCCAGTTATAGCACTGAGACTGTTTAGATTACGGGTTTCTTGACTGTTTTAGGTCACTCCTTGACAATGAGGTTATAGTAGCTTCTGTGGTTGAAATCTAATATTGTTTCTATAAGCAGATCCCCACAGACTGTCTGAGGCATTAGCCAAGTTTTGGAGGGCTAATCACAGTCTCTGCATGTAGACATTCACTGTGTCATAATCAGGTTTCCTCATCTTATTCTTGATTGATCGTAATGTCTTCATTTATTTCCAATGTAGAGAGTTCTGGTTTTATACATGAATAGCAAACATGTAGAGACACAAGTAAGTGTAAGAAGAAAAACATACATATAGCCTATCTTATGAGAAGAAAACTGAAACTCCTTTCTCATCATGTCAAAATATTTCTAGCCACTCCCTGACTGTTGATCCAGGAAGCCAGATGAGATGGACTAAAATTCTGACTGCTTGCCACTAGGCCACTAAGCCATCCCATTACTTTTTCTCCAGGGATTCAAATACTTCATTGTTATACACTCAGATGTTATTGTTCTACCCTTAAGTGGTTTCAGGTTTTTGCATAAGTTTTGGAATAAAGCTGGAGGCACCGTGACCCAGACTAAGTAGTAGCACGAGTTCACAGCATCTGTGCTGGATTTGTGTTGGAAGGTTCCTTCACTTTTTGCTCATAAATACTTAAAGACACTGGAGTGGGGTCTTTCCAGCTACTCCATTTCACAAACAGCCTTCTGCTGTAAGGGCCAGTCACCTGTATAATTGCAGAGGGAAGAGACTTGCAGAGGGACAACTTCTTTGCTCATCCTTACCATTAGGTCTCTGTATAGGCAAGATAAGTGAGAAGTTTTTTTAAAAAATTGTCTAAAGAGTTTTGACAGGCATTGAATATGGTGCTTTGTTGTTTGGGGTTTTTTCCCACTTCACCTTGAGTGCATTTGATAGGATTTGATCCTATCTCAATGATATCACCAGCGTTAGGGCCAGACCCTTAAATAAATTGGTTCTGGTGGATCAATATCTCTAAATAGATGAGCAGAAAAGAAAATCATTAGCAAGGAAATTGCTTTTTTGTGGTACTCTCATGCAGCCTTAAATTCCTATCTCTGTTATTTCGGGAATGAGTAAACATGCATTACATAGTTTGGAAGGAGGAGGTGCTTGAGTTTACAGTCAGCCATACTGGTACAAATGAGGGCAGAGTCCAAGATTTGGATCAGGTTCTGAAAGCAGAAAATACTAAAACTTCATTATTCCCTGAGATCTGTACTTGAGCTCTACAGTATGTTTTATTAAGTCTGCTATACTACACTGGTAGTTTGAAGTTATATAGAAAAGGAAGATTATATGAGTGCTGTTAACCAAAATGAAGAATTGCCCAAGGAAATGAAGGAGAATACTTTGGATTATATCCTTGGTAGCATTATTTGTATGCAAGCTTGATTTTGTTCCCAATGCATTGTGCTCAATTTTTAATGTCAGAAAAGCAGTATTATGTAATAGAAAGCCTTGAGGTCTCAGGCTTTGAAATTACAATAAAGGTGACATGTATCAGCTATTAATGTGTGCTGTTAATGTACAAACATCAGCTTCCTGGTTTGCCCCCCACCATGACTGAAGGCCTGTCCTTTCATACTGGAAGAAATTTGTATCAGGAGGACAAATCCCAGAAGCAAGTCTTACTTACTGCACTGGCTTTAAGACCTGAGGCAAAAGAGTTTTCCATTGTAATCACACTGGGAAGTCTTAGCTGGCAAGGGCTTCTGGTGTCAGCTTTGTGCTCTCTGGTGATCTGGCTTGGATCTCGTTCTTCTGCAGTGCAACTCCATGGCTCTTGCCAGCTCTCTGACCTCCTGGGTCAGCTTGTGAGCCTGATCCACAATCCATTAACAGGATGCATCTGCTGCACACAGTGGGAGAGAGGCCACATGACTGTGTTACAGTGGGAGATGTTTCCAAGGCCTCTCTAAAGCCCCTTTTTACCATACGGCTTTTTTCCTACCTGCAGTTGAATGTTATCACCACCTTCCATCATGTCATTTGACAGGTATGGTCCTGAACTGGGAGATAAGAAACCTGAGAGAATTGTCAGAGCAAAAGGTCTGGGTTTAAGAATAGGAGGCCAGAGCACTGGGCCTGACAGGCTGAGGAAACATTTATTTAAAGATTTAATTGGCTTCCCGACTTTCTGATATTCAGTGGGACAGGGAACTGATGTAGGTGGTGGTAGATTTGAATAGTTTCAACTACAGTACTCTATCATAGGACTGTCATAGTTTCTTATATCTTTAATACTCTGGAGATAAGTTTTTTTTTTTTTTAACCTTTCTGATAGTGATTTGTCTGGTGGATAAGAGCATTGGTTGTAGGTTTTTTTCTGTTCATTACACATCATGAAGCCAAGAGGATTGTGGCTTTTTACCGCAAACATAGCACATTCACTCCCCATCAAAAGTAGCATAGGTTCATGTCTTAAACACAGAAAGAGCCTTTTTGGGTTGAAGTAAGATGTACACCTTCCTAGAATTTCTCGGATTATGTATAAGGTAATAAGATTTTCTGAACTTTGGATTAAAGGGCAAACTGGAATTGTTTCTGCAGAAACACAGTTTCTGTCAATAGTAGAGGTGGTTTTTAACCGATGAGAATCTTTCTGTGACCTGAAAGCTGTGCAGATGTTTGCATATGTTGCACCTGTGTCATGGAATAGAATAAATGCCCATTATGTTTTTGCTGCTATTCAGTCTGATTATATTTACCTGTAGCTACAATTAGGTGAATTAATGTCCCTTGCAAGTTTTAGGTCTCTTGGCACAATTTTTGAAGCTGTGAAAAAATAGTGGGTTGCTGGGGGTTTTTTTTAAAGTTCTGTCACTGGACAAAATCACCAGCTCCTCTCTAAAGTTAAACTGTCATTTACAGGTTGTAAACAATGAGGATTTTTTTTTTTTTTTAATTTTTGGGATAGCTGTAATGACTAGCACAGTCTCCTGTTTTTCTTGTGCTCTGTGCTTTTGTCCTCAAACACCCTTTCTACTGCAACTGTGCACATGCCATCAAGCTGTAATAGTTTGTGGCAGGTATTCCGCTTCTTACTTGTCAAAGTTTTCTGCACCAGGAGACCCCATGAAACCCAGGATCAGGGTAACTGCAGGATTTTAGTTTGGGTTTTTAATCACTTTGAACCATTTAGAGTGGATTCACCCAGCATGATGTGGACATACTCTCTTTCATTTAAAAATAATACCTACATTGCAGCAAACAGCATCTACTCTAAGTGAGCTTTTCTTCAGATGAAATATATGAGTCCTCTGCATCCTTGTCCATAGGATCATTTTTATATGTTGCCATTTATATATGGAAATGAAGAAACAAATGTCTCTCTTTATGTAATCAAGTTCTTTTTTCTGCTGATACAGTATATGATGCCTTTTTCACAAGTTGCTGCGAGGTTTTTTTGTTTACATAAATTCTTCATCTCTGAAGGTGAGGTGTTGCCACCAGTAGGGGTTTCCACAAACTTTTCGTGTTACTGTCCTCAAATCATGAAACAGCTCAGGTTGGAAAGTTTGAAAGTTTGTTTGGTCCAACCTTTTGTGGTTTCCTTTACTGTTAAAACTTACCTTAATGTCACCTTTGTCTAGATGCCTATGTCTATTTTCACTGGCTCAGGTCATGCATGTGTTGAAATGTCTCTCATTATGATACAGGTTATCTCTTGTTTTCTTTTGCTCACTTCTTGGTCTCCATAAATACTGTCCTTTGTCTTAAATTGAATTTTAAATTGACTTTGCCAGGAACTGTCTCTATGTGTGTATAGTGCCATGAAAGTTAAAATACTCATTTGCATCAGGGAATTGTAAGTGTCAGGGTAATAAAAAGAATAATGTCAGATTTTGGTTAAAGAATAGAAAGAACTTTAATTTTTGCCCACAGGGAAAAGTATCAGGTTTCTTATGTCTTTTGTGTAAGGCTGTATATGTCTGTTAAAGAGCAGCCTGCTAAATACAGTGTTTATGTGCTTATTCATCTGCACTAAAATGTCCTCTAAAGTAAGTACTGGCAGGTTTGCACAAAAAGATTGGAAGCAAAATAATTAGTGTTGGTCTTATTTCATTGTGTTGAACTGTGTACTTTTATTTTGAATTAAGACTGTTCTTTTCAGATACAAAGCTGTTCTAAGTATTTTAGTCTAATTAAAGAGAACATGACATATTTTGTACTAAACTACTTGAACCATGAATTATCACCATTGTTTATTTTAGTAACTACATCTTAGATTTCCTTCCAGAGATACTAAAAGCTTCCAGTTTTTCTTAGTTTATCCTTGGAGCTTTTTGAGATGAGGAATTGCTAACATTGCTGAAACACCTTAAATTGACTGTCTTGGCTTTTGTTTTGTGCTGATTAGAAACTCCAGTCCAAGCAAGTATAGAGAATACTGGCACCTGCTCTCTCAGAAGCTGAGATCGGATCGATACCACATTCATTGGTGTCTCTCTCTGAGCTGCCTCAGTGAACAGTGCAAGCCATATATTCACATAAATGTGTCAGTGCTTCATATGTAGCTGTTTTAACTGATGGTTACAGTGGAACAATGTGCAGGCTAGGTATGTTTGCCAGGTGTTGAGAGGAGGAATTTGTAAATATATCACAAGACAGGCACTCCGGTTTCAGTTCTAAGACATACCAGTATGAGGATTAGGAGAAGCTGCTTATATTTTTCTTTTCAAAGCCAATAGTCTGTTAAGTTTTAGCTGATTTTTATTGGTTGTTTTTTTAGAACTGTGCATTTCTCTGTGATTTATTTCTGTTAACTTATTTTTTTTTTCAATCTTCTTTATTTTAATGTGTGCCTGTTTGCCCATAAAGGGATATTACTCTATGAGCCCTTGTGATGACGGATATGTAAGTGTCTATATCTTTATATCCTTTCGCGTTGCCTGCTCAGTCTGTCACGGTCTATATTTCTCTTCATTTCACAATGTGGAACAATTTTCTCTGCATTTTAACTTGTCATGACACTAACTGTATGGTTTATGAGAGGCAAAAACTGTGCAAGGCTTGTAATTTCTGCATGGGGAATGGAATAGATGTTCTGGGTAACCTCATGGCTTCATAATACACGTAATGCAGCATGTCAGCAGAAGAGCAGCTTTGCCCACAAATTTGACATGAAATTTTACAGCCTCCTATAGCATGCAGAAAGGAATTGTTTCTTCCATGTGATCATCTGTACGTAGCATACAATGTCCCTGAAGTGTGCCAACACCAGCTGATCCCACGACACTTTTGGCAAAGCAGATAAATACTATTGCTCAAGGTAATACAGCAGCTGAGTTGTGCTCTTCAGAGGGGTGTTGTGTTCTACGCATTTGTATTTTTAATTCTAAAAGTCAAACTCTCTTTCTATAGTAAAGGTTATATAAAAATTCTTCATCCAGTTAAAATGGATCTTTTTTCCTTGAAAACCAAAAATGCAAAATTATGTTCTGTGTACTGCCTGTGACTTCTGTAACCCAGATGGAAGTTCACATTCTGGCAGTGCTACAAGTACACCATAAGTATCTAATTTTGCCCATAGTCAGTGCATTCTTTGTGAAGAAAGGAAATGAGTTTGCTTCTAAGTAACTCAGTGTGTCATCAATTCATAAAAGTGATTGACACCAATTCTGATAAATATCAGTCGGTTTAAAATAACCTGCATTTATATTTTTATCACTTTCTTTAGGTAAAACAAGATTTTGCCTTTCAATAAAAACTGCCTATTTTTCCAACATGTGTATCACCTGGAATTGCAGTAAACCCCTGTGGGCACTCAACTTTTCCCTTAAAACAACATTTTGTTTTGAGAAGTAGTCATAGAAGTACTGAATGCAATCAACAATTCCTTATGTGATTCTTTTTATCCTGATGTAGAGAATATTACCCCATTCACCTATGGTAAAAGATCACCTGCATCAATCAACCTCTTCCTATTGATGACATGAGGGTTCATAACAGACATCTTTTTCTTAATGTTTAGGATTTTGTTCCCTCACATAATTCTGAGGCTTGATATTGAGAAAAGTTGATTACAGATGAGCAGTCATGAATGAAATTACCTCTGCTAAAAAAAAAGTTTTTCCCTTATTCAGATTAGTATAAAGTGTAATTAAATGTAACTTTGTACAATGTAGAATGTAAGAATTTACAGTGCAGAGTTCTTTATAAAATTTCTGTAAAGCTGTCTGACACTAATTCTGAAGTATTTCTTGAATATGTGGATAGCTGTCAGCTCCCCTCACTGTTTATATATAGTATTTTATACTTTTTTCTGGCATTTTGTCTATTCATTACATTATCACACAGTAGTACAGTGTGACTTTTTTATGTACACTTCAGATGTCTTAGAGAACCTGTTTTATATGGCAAGTGGAAAGTTTTCATAACAGCATATCTCTAGTATAAGTAAGAAAAAAAATTAAAAACATTTGCAGATCTTCTTATGAAATAACTTTGCATAGCCCCAGGAGGCCTGCCAGGTTACACAAGCTCAGAGTCTAATTCCTCATAGCCTGCATGTGGAGCAGTCTTGTTATTAGCATGTAACAAATGAGCTCAACATAAATTTGTACATTTTAATGATATGTAGAAATTTGCTCAGATTTTGGTTTTACTCATCACATATTCATCAATTATCTGTAACTATTAATTTGAAATCTGCATTGAATTTACACTGAGTTCTTATAGCACATTTTCAGAGTGGGAACTGAAGACAATCTGGCTTTCAGCTTTGCCTTCAGCATATTATGAATATATACATCAAATAGCAAAGGGGAGTTGGTTTGAATACAGGGCTACAGTATCTGATAAAATCAAATTGTGGTTTTGGCTTGCACATGAATGCATCTGTTTTCTTTTATAAATATTGATATTTTTTTTTCTTTCCCTTTGAACTTCTTTGGTTTATTCCATGCTGTTCGAATTCATGCCTTGCTTTGTTCAAAAACGAAGGGCTGCCATCTGTGGCTCATGTGCATCGTGACAGAATTATTTGACTTCACGTGGCACCTGGTTTGGCTTTGGCAAGAACCAACACAAACATGAGTCATACCCCGTGGTCCTACCAGAATGAGCCGTGCTTGGGCTGTTGCTTTCTTGTATTTCTTTTCCTTTCCTTTAGACACTGAGCTTCTGCATGTGTTTCAGTTATGTCAAATGATTCTGTCTCAAGATAGGTTTTGCATGGAAAGTATTTTGTTCAAGATTGTCTTTGAGTGCTGGGACACGGGAACATGTTTGCTCCGTGTTCTTCACACTCTGTCTTTCACTGGCAATTTAAAGAATACTGTTCCTCAAAGGGTTAAAGTAATATTTAATCTGCTCCAGGAAAGGTAAGACTGGGGAAAGGGCTTGGAAGAAAATGCTGAGGAAATAAATCTTGTAATCTAAGAAAACTGATAGTGAAGAGGAGCTACTAAATCTGGGGGTTTTTTGTTTGTTTGTGTTGGCTGTGCCATAAGCATTCAATTGTTTAATAGCAAAATAAAAATTTTTAGTTCTTCCACCCTGCCATTCATTGGTAGATCTCAAAACCCAGCTTATTCAAGAGATTGATGCCTGCATCTGCTTTCCAGATGAGAAAAATCAAGGCCCAGAGACGTGAAATGATGTGTTTTGATTTGTCTGCAGTTGGTGGGTGAATCAGGACTAGAAGGTATCTCCTGAGACCCAAGACAATGCCTCACTCTGCCACACTGGACAGATACAGATTAATTTACTTATGACTAATGGCAATAATGTAGATATTTAATGCAATAATGTAGATGAAAATGAAGAAAGGAAACACCTTTCTATCTGCTTATCAGTAGTACTGGCCATAGTCAGATTGTGAAATGACAGCACAGTGAAGGACAAACTAGCCTCCCAAAAACTTTTTTTATTTCTGTTTAACCTTATTGAACCCCATGCAACTTTATCCTTATTGCTTTCCCAGAAACACCAAAAGCCTGAGAGAGCTTCCTTCTCCCTGAGCAGGTTCCAGACTGATAAACTGAGTCTGATCAGCAAAGTGAAAGTCTCTCCAGCTCGGTGGTGCTGCCCTCAGAGCTCCAGTGTAGGGCCTGCCCCACTCTCTGGTGCCTTCCTGGTGTAGGTAGAGTACAGAGGCAAACCATATTAAATGCTTTGCTGTGCTCCATCTGCCGGCCTAAAAAATGAATTGGCAATTAACAGGATTTTGTCATGCTTGATCTGATTGATTTGTAAAACTTTGAATGTTTTTCCAGTTGAAGTTTCTGCAGTTTGAGATTTATAAAAGCTTGCAAAATCTTGCCCTTGCCAAGAAGTTTTATTTGCGTGGAAGGGTGATGCATCTGTCTTTACCAATTACATATCCTTTAGTTCGATTTTGATTGGAGCACAAGTTTTTCTAAGTCAGCAAAGAGGTGGGTAAAAAGAATTTTGAGAAGCAGAGAGACTTTATGTACATTTATATACCCCTAGTGCCTTGCTCTGTTCTCACAGCTGTTCTCTGTTTGACCTTCTCATCTTCAAGGGCTCTGTCATTTCTTTTGCATTAAAGTGCTATAATCATATAATCACTTTCTTTCCTGTTTTCCTCTAATGGAGAAAGGTGCTGAGGAAAGCAAGAAAAATGATTTGTGATTTCATTGCACATTCAGGTACAAGATGTCAGTTTTTTGACTGGGAAAACGGTTTTATTTAAACTGACTCTTTATACTTATCAAAAATACTAAGGAAAATGAATACAAATAAATAAGAAGAAAACAATCTAGGGGTAGATATGTAACAGAAAAATGAAAGACTTGTATTGTGTAGGATAAACTCTGATGTGAGAACTGCTGTCAAGACAAATTACTTTTGAGGTGTATGACCTGTTAATTGTCTATTGTGAACAAGTATTGACAATATAAAATGCTTTCCAATATGCATACAAGTTTATTTCACATCTAAGAGAGCAGTTCCTTGTATTAGGAGGGTACCCATGAGGTAGTGTGTTCAAGAATATGTCAGCTGGTGTAATTCAATATTCTCTATGGTATTTCATGCTTTTTGTCTCCTAAATCCCACAGTTTTAAATCTGACAATAGACATTGATTATATAGCTCCCACTGAAAGAGGCTCGGTCAGAAGAAAAGACCAGTTTTACAAGCATAAGTGGTAATGAGAGATTTTTAGAAAGTGAGTAGAGAGATCAGCACAAAGAAATGACATTGAATATTCTGCAAATATGCTGTGTAGTTGACATCATGAATGCATGATATGAAGCACTTTTATGCCACAATTGCTGCTTCCTGGCTCACCTACAATTAACTCTAGCAAAAAATATTTACTGAAGCAGACAACTTTTATGTGGAACTGTTATATTGTGTTGATGTTTCTAAGCTTTGACTTGTGCAGTGGTGCCTGTATATGCACTGTGTCCCAGTGCACCAGAGAGGAAATATCCAGGATTCAACTGGATGTATCTTAGGCAGAACCACGGAGAAATTACATGCTGTTCCATGTTGGTCTTTTCCATACTACAATACATAGTCTTTTCTTTGCATATTAATATTTATACATAGGGGTATATTTTAGTAGCAACAGGCACTTGAAAACATTAGTGTTGAAACAAAGAATTACAGTAAATTTGGACACAGGAAATGTGCTGGGTCTTCAGTGAAATATTATTGCAACATAAAGGTATGAACATTTATTAAATCAATGAATGTGCTTTGCAAGTTCTTCATCTTCCTCAGTAGGCTTTAGACAGTAGCTTCAAGTAATTTTTTTTTTTTTAATGCCTGAAGTGGAGATAATTTGTGGAGTATGAGTGTGAGGATAACATAATCAGATCATAAAAGAAGAGTTTTTTACCTGTGAAACACTTTAAGTGAAAAGAAAGATAAATAGTGAAGTACTCTTTCTTTAGCTGTGTTTCTGGGTTTGCAGCACAGGTTTTATAGGAAAAGAACAGCAGAAGCTCAGTGAAAGAATTCACAGTGGACCTCATTAGTAACATTGATGTGAAATTTGGACTAATCTGTTGTAATTTCTTTTTTTATTATTTTTCTGATCCAGGCTTCCACAATGTTAAGAGCATCTTTAGCCCCTGTGTAAGTATTTGTTGCAGAGCTTCATTTCTATCTGTGGAGAAGAGAAGGAGGAGTTTGTAAACTGAAGTGCACTGCCAGGTGTCTGCAAATGGGAATCACTCCTCCTCTGTACTTCCTCTGATCTCACTGAACAGTGTTCTGTGCTCTTCTGTTGAGCAGCTTCAGTTCCACTCTAATTACAGCAGGATGTTGCTAACCCAGTAAATCTGCCATTCCACACCTGTGAGATTGTTTCTGTATTTTTACTGTTTCCGCATGTTTCAGTCCCGTTGTTGTAATTGGTTTGATTCTCACAAATCCAGGAAAAGGGAAATTTTAGGTGTTTTAAGTTTAATTTTTTGGGGACTTAGTTAAAAAATTTAAGCTTATAATATCAAATAGGGATGGTATATCCAAAGTGAAGTTTTATTAAATTTTTGAGACACTGTTTTGATCCTTCTGTTGTTTACAAGATAATGGGGCAGTTACACATATGACGTAAAATTTGTTTTGAAAAGTGGTTAGATGGAAAGATAGTAAAACATTTTAGTCTACTGTATTTAAATACTAAAATTAAAACATTGACTGGAAGCAGTTTTGTTTAGGGAAACTTCTTTTGCTGTGTTAAAACTCAAAATAACAAGGTAGTACTGATGCATAAAAAGTGGTCCTGTATTAAATCTCAGGCTGTGGAAATCCATTCAGCCCCCACACACCCACCACCTTTGCCTTGGAGAAAACATTTCTGTGTGCATGAGGGCTTAGAGGTGGAGTTGGAGCTGCAGCTTGTTACTGCATCTGTTTATAATTGTGTGCTAAAAGGCAGGAGCTGCTGCCATCATGCCTTTGTGGTCCACACAGGGGAGGGGAAGGAAAGATGTTACTGTACTGTTTGGTGCCGCTAGAAATCTCAGATCATCAGCTGGCTAGTTGTCAGTGGCTGCAGGTTATGATGGTAAGTGAGCTGCATGCATGGTTAAAAAAAATGCCCAAGATTAACAAGTCTGTTGTTCTAACAGACAATAAAAGTAACCAAAGTGTAAAAATGTGGAAGCTCTTTTCCTAAGCAGACTTCCTGTTTTGGCTCTTCTCACCTCAGTAACATCAGCTGCACTGAACAAGGCGAGAGAGTTTTGATGAAATGTCTTTCCCGTTCGCATTTAGGAAGATGCAGGATGTGCCATTGTTGCCCTCTTTGGATTATGAGAAGCTGAAGAAGGATTTGATTACAGGGAATGATCGTCTCAAGGCCTTCTTACTGCAGGCTCTGCGCTGGGTAAGGAGAGGGCCTCTGGAGAAATAAAGAAATAGGTCCCTTTCTGGAGCAATCCAGAACTGAGACCCATTTTGCAAGCAAAATGGTTGTTCTGGTGATCAATTCAGGCAACTTCTCTCTTTGTCAGTGAAGTTTGCTAAGGCTCTTGAGATTATGCAGACAGCCCAGGGCAGTAGGTATCTATTTGTAGTGTAACAGTGTCCTTCTCATCCATAAGGAATTCCCAGATTCCTGGGATATTCAGTGGAAGTAATTTCTGATATGTTTTCAAATAAATTGTTGTTGTCTGAGGCAGTTCCTTTTTCCATATATTGCCCTGGTTTATGTTTATATAAATATTGCTGTATCCAAGACATATCTGACTCTAATTACAGTTCTCCTTTATAATCAAGGTATTTTACAGGAGCCTGCCTTTTGTTTGGCTTGGATTCTGTAATGACATTTCAGAAAAATTACAGGTGACAACAGGAAGTTACATTTTCCTGCTGAAAAGGAAGTTGATGGGTTCAAAGTGACAGATGAAATATGTGAAAGATGATAATAGTGGAATTCTGACCAAGGTTCGATGTCCGTTTTCACATAAAAACCCATCCATTGGAGCTGACCAGTGGTGGTTCTATCCCAGTGCTCTGTCTCAGAGGCTTTAGAAAAACACCACATCTGTAGCTATTAAGAGAGGCTTTTTTAACTTTATGGGAAGTAATGCTGTATCCTTCCTGTAGGGACAGTAATGACAGCTGCCAAGTAACAGTTTTGTAATGGATCACTAAGCTGAGGTCAGGTCAGTTCATTTCATCTCTTTCCCTTAGATCACTGAGGTTGAATTCCTATTCCCTGTGAGAAAAAGTTTCTCAGCTATGGAGTATCAGCACCTTTAAAATCTTCAGGGGTCATCAGTCTGCACTACCTCTTATTTTTGTTGGTTTTTTTTTTTTGTTTGTTTTGGTTTGGTTTTGTTTTTGGGTGGGGGTTTTTTGAGTGGTTTATTTTATTGTTATTTATTTTAGCGCTTGACAACATCATATCCTGGAGAACAGAGAGACACTGTCCTGCAAGCCTACATCAGTAATGATCTCCTGGGCTGTCACAGCAACTGTCAGGTCAGATGGAACTGAGAGTTGTCAGTTGTCCAACTTCTGTGTGATACTGCTCATTTCTGTCTGTAAAGTGCTGATCATAAAACTTTATTGCACTCTGAAAGGGGAGGGGAAAAAAAAGGTAGTAATGCTGATCTCAGGTGATACATTTGACTTCTACATCCTAGTCTTTAAATGTGGATGGCAAAACTTTGCATTACAAGAGCTCTCAGTGTAGACACAGTTCTTGTAGACAAATGGAAATTTATCACCTCTCCTGGTGCTTAACTTCTGTGAGTTGAGCAGAAGCCAGAGGCCCTTATTTATGAGTTACCTCTTGCTTATCAGATCCTTTTTGAATGATTATGTATTGTTAAATAATACACTCAATTAATTTCATTGATTTACGATAAGAACTCAGTTAGGACTTCAGTCCGATATTGTTATGGATATGTCATTATGCACCTGCAATAACAGGTTCAGCGGTACTTCTGTGAATTTGAAATGGTTTGGTCCCCTTCTTTAGAAAGGGGAATCGCCAGTGTGTTGATCTTGACAGGTTATTTCAGTCCCTGATTATCCAATACTGTTGCTAAACACCAAAGTGCAACTTGTTTTCATTTGTAGTAGTGAATTTAGTGCCTATTTGAGTTCCCCAGAAGTTGGAGGCAGTGGGTCTACTTGTTATGTTGTGGCTCCATTGTCAGTGCAACAGTAACTTGTACCTCTACAAAAGTTAAAGGATTATTAAATCAGCGATCTCTTTTTCTCCCTGTAAATTTCTGTAAGAGGGAAGTTATAATTAATGCCTGAAATAAAACAGATTAGAAATAGGTTGGAACGTTTTTTTGTAAGTTACTGAGCTGCTTTGCACACTCTTAATTGTCAAACAAAAGTGTTCTTATTCAGATAGCTTTACTGCATTTAAGTTCATCAACAAAATTAAGTTGTTTGCTTTGTGGGCTTTTTTTTCACTGACCTAATATTAATTTTAGATACCAGCTTTAACTGAACTGTGTTGGCTCATTATATTCCCACTCTACACCAGTGTTTTAACAGACTGAGCTGAGAAGCTGTGATTTGCTTATTTGTTCATTTTCCATTTCTCCCTCAGCCCCCTGCCAATAAAAAAGAAATTTAAATTATATTGACGTTACTTAAGATATCAGTATGCATTCAGAGTTTATTTGCTGTGTAAATTTAATGACGCTTTCAAAACATTATAGAAAACTAATTTTGCTTCGTTCCTTTTTTAGTGAGATTTAATTAATGTTTGCTTTTTTTTTTCAGAGAAGTGTCCTCAAATTATTAAATTCCAAGAGTGAGGTAGTCAGACAGTATATGGCAAGACTCATCAATGCTTTTGCTTCACTGGCAGAAGGTAAAAGATTCACTGCAAAAAATAAGGTAGCATTTTCATCTAATGCTGGCTTATAGGTGCTTCACAAGTCCATGTCACTGCATGTGAAAATTGAGAGCCTTGTTTGCACCCTTTTTCTAAGGATTCCCTGTCTTTCATTACATGCATTTGGTATGTGGAAAATTTTCATTTTGACACAGTGTATTCAGCATTTCTGACTTGTTTTGATGATTTGTGGTCTATGTGGGAACTTACCTGGGTGGTGCCTTTAATACAGTCTTCAGTCTCTTCATGAGGGTTAAAAAAAAAAAATCCCCATTCATTAGAGGCTCTATGAGCAGACCTCCTACCAGGCTGTTCAATAGTGGCTACTGCATCTGTTCTTACATTTTCCTGATCCTCACCTGAATAAATCTTTGTGCATCACTGCTAACTATTTAGATGCTTATATATCCAGCTTTGTATCTCCAGTTGTCCCAAATTAGCCCTTGGTTTGCTGCTATTTTGGAGCTAACTATTGCTAGAAACTGAAATCCCACCTAAAGTCAGTAGCAGCAGGGCACTGGGCTTTCCCAAGCTCTTTGGACATCCCTGTCCTTTTCCTTGAGTGTACAAAATTGTGATAGATCAGAAAGCATGTACTGAAACAGAAACAGTGGATTCTGTGTGGTACTGATTTGGCAGGTGTGGGCCTCTAATGCCCCAGGTGTGTGGAATGATGGCAACTGGTCTGGTACACAACTTCATTTGTGCAGGTGTGTTTGGTTTTTGGCACAAGACTGTGGCTTGTCAAGAAGGAACCGAGGTCAATCCTGCTTACTTTTCTAACGAGAGGGAGCTTTTCTGTCCTAGCTGATATCTCAGCATCTGTTCTTTCATCGCTTTTTGCACTAGGTCGTGTCTACTTTTCTCAGAACCCAACAGTGCTGCGAGTGCTGGAGGAGAGACTGAAAGCTGAAGACAAGGATTCCCTTACATGGGAGACTGTTCTGGGGGCTCTGCAGAAATTCAGCCTCAGGTGATGAAAGCACAGCATGTGGTGGTGACAGCAGGAGAGGAAATGCAGGCTAGTTAGGCTCTGTTCAGGGAGGAAAGAAGAGCACTTGATTTTCCCATAACAATCATCAGAATCCCTGATGGCTGATGAAAGCAATGGCATTTATTACGGAGGAGAACTCAGTTTTGCTGACTGAATTAACCTGACTTCCTACCAGCTGTCCAGACTCAAGTAAATATACATCTCCTGCCACAGCCTTGTGTGCTTTATATGTCTTCCTTAGCTGAACAAAGAGAAAATCTTAACGTAGAAGCCTCTGACGATCCTACACAGAAAAAAAGAATTGCATTACATTCCAAACATAAGGTTTTCATTATCCTTTCTGCAAACATTTTTCAGGGATTTCATCTTCATCCTGTTGATCCTCTTTCCTGGAGCTGTCTATGCAAGGGCTGTCTTGTTTCTCACTTTTGCATTAGCAGTCTGACTCAAATGCCCACCACAAAAGAAATATGCAAAAGCAGTAAAGGGTATGATGTTGCTCTGTTTATCAAATAAATATGATCATAGGAACTCTGTTTTCACAGTACTCAGGAGGAATATTCAGCCCTAAATAGTTAACTAAATGTAAGGAGGTGGATGTGTTTAGCACTTGATACTTTCATTCAAGTTCTTTTCTAAACTCAGACTGCAAGTGTTCATTTGTTTTTGTTTGAGTTTATGTGTTTGGGTTCGTTGATGAATGAGGGCTGCCTTTGGATTTGCTTCATTTAGAACTTGTCTGGATGAAGCACATGTAAATGTGCTTTGTGTAAAATTCTGCACTGCTTCTTGACAGGATACCTTGTATGTATCTGTGATGAAAGAGAATAAATCTTCATACCCTACTGCTTGAAATCCTAAAACAGAAAGTGATAATTCTATTAAAGCAGTTGTTAGTAGAAGTTAGTTTGTATTTTGGGGTCTAGGCACTAAGCTGCTGAAAATTTGAAAGTTTTTTACTTTCTGAAGAGTAACAGTTAATCTTATAGAAGGTTAATTCTAGATTTTTGACATGAGGGAAACTCTTTTAATGTGTGGTCAGATGCTCCTTTGTTTTGCTTAGTCCATGCCATAGACCTGCTGCAATATCCAGCATTGAGAAAGCATGTGAGCTTTCAGGACTAAAACTAGGAAAATACCTTCTTTGATCTTTGCAATTTAAACTTATTGCCTCTTGGAAATAATGTTGTTAAAAACTGTATGCTTCAATAAGACCTTTCTACCAATATATACTTCTTTTTTGTATTGTAAAGCATGGAATTTCTGTTGTAGATCACAGTTGGCCACCTGGCACTTTATTCAGTGTACTCTTCGAGGGCAAATACAGGTTGAGTTAAGAGAACATGTGATTTAAAAATCTCTAGAGAAAAGAGCAAATAAATTCAAGCAAAAAACCTCATTTGTCAAATCAACAGTACAAAAGTGCTACAGTTCTGTGGCTACCTATGTCAGGAGAAGTAATTAATTTGTTTTATGGAGCTGTTGTGTGTAGCTGGTTTTTTAAACCAATTTTAAAAGACAATTGAAAATGCCATTTTAGGTGGAATAAGAAGCCTTAGAAAACAATGAAGAAACTTACCTCAGCAGTTTGCAGGTTTAAAAAGAACAAAACAAAGACAAACACACTCCCCCCCAACCTATCCAACAGCGTTTTACTCCTCTAACTTATGGGAATCTGAATCTTCAGGTTCTTCAGGCTTTGTTAATTACTTAGTTTAATGATTCTGCCAAAATGGGTAGATTTGGGATTTTTTTTTTTTTTGGCTGGCTAGTGTGTTTTTAACCTGCTTACACTAGCTATAAATGTATTTGAAAACTATTTATGCAGTGATCTGATTTTTGTGATTTGTGATCTGATTTTTGTTTTTTTAATCCTAGGCGTGCACTGCAGTCTGCGATGATCAAAGATGGGCTCATTTTCTGGCTGATTGATGTTCTAAAAGATACAGATTGCCTGTCTGATTACACCCTGGAGTATTCTGTTGCCTTGCTCTTGAATCTTTGTCTGCGGAGTGCAGGTGTCGTACATTTTGAATTACAACTTTATTCCAAGAAATGGATAGGGAAGATTGTGAATCTTTTTTTTTTCCTGATATACCAGGATTCTTTCAAGTGACTATAATCAGTAGCAGCGATTTACATGACCAGAGATATTTGAGTGTTATAACTAAAATGCTTTTGAGCAGATCTCTTTTCCCAAGAATCCCAGTTACGGAGGTTAGCTTCACCAAATCCTAAAGAATTAAGCAAGGAAATAAGCAACGGAACCCTATTAAGATTTGATTATTTTTTCATATCAATGAAGGCTGCCATTCCTACATTTCAGGCCCACTTTTCAAAAGACACTTTGTGTCCACTTACACAGTCTGTGTAAGAGATTTCTTTGTAAGCAGGAAAGAATTGGGTTGAGGAGTAACGGAGAGGGAGGAGTTCAAACTTCACCTTGTTCAGTGAAATACTTACCTGCTTCACTTCTGCAATGCAGAGATTCTCCCCAAGAAAATAGGGTCCTGTCTACACCCAGGAGATTTGAAAGAAGAGCTTAAAGTAAATTTCCTTTTAAAAAGGAGAGTAAGGTAAAAGGGTTGGAAAATCGGTCTGCTTGTTGTAGATAAAAGATTACAACTGCACACCTCCAGAGTAACTTCACTGATTTCAGCTCAGTTATTCAGCATTTGTCAGGAACAAGCAACAGTATTGCTCTGATCAGTTATATTTTTCCACGCATATTTGTGTGTTCTGCCTTTTCAGGGAAGAAAATGTGTGCAACGATTGCAAACCATGTGCTCAAAGTTCTCTCTGATCTTCTTGGCCATGAGAATCAGGAGGTATTTGTACAGCAAATTTTGGGTTAATGAAAATGTGGAAGGAAAAATTAAATATTAAAAAGAAAAGCAAAAACAAGAAAGGAAAAAAATGGACAAAGAATTGCTTTTGTTTCCCTTGTTAGATCCTCATGTAATTAAGTTGCATAAAATTTTCCTAAAATTCACAATTCCTTAAATTTTATTTCATTGAGCACTGGTCTTTCCAGCCAAAAGTATGTCTTCCTTTAACAAATGTGGGCAGCTAAGAATGGAAGTCTTCTAAATGCATAGTTACCATGCAGTCCATGTGCCTTCTTGATTGCAGCTTCTGATGCTGTTTAAATTTCATCTCGCACCAAATCACCTCTAGCTTAACTAGTTCATGAGATGAGCAATGTGTGGTGCAATTCCATTATGCAAAACCTTAGGTGCAAAGAAGCAACATTTGCTGGTAGTTTTAAGGAATGCTATAAGAAAACACTACACTCCTGACATTCTAGCCCTAATTATCTTTCATTCAAGCCCTAATATCTTTTTATCTATGACTTCACTTGACCTGCCACTTAACCCTTTTGTGATTCCTTTCTTCTCTGTCTCTGGACACACTTGCATCTAAGATGCTAAATCGAACTACTTCAGAGGAAAATGCTAAAAATTATAGGTTATTTCTACCTAATACTTTTCAGCACATCCCTGTGATGCCTGCTGTCTAATATAGAAAACATTGCATCAGCTGTCTCTGCAGAGGGGCGCTTCTTTAACCATGGAGGAAAATTCAAGGCAGGAGGAAATGCAGGCAAATATTGTACAAATCTGAATTCAAGGAGGCAAAATTTTTACCAGGTTATTATAGAGTTATTCCGTGATGATTGTGCAAGGTGTCTGGGGACTTGTGCTAGAAATGAAATATAAACTCTAGTGTCTTATGTTTATATGCAATGACTGAGTCATCAGGGGTTTTTTGTTTATGACTTAAACTGAAAATAGAGAATACATTTCAATGAAATGCTTAGTCTGTGTTTTATAAATTCATTAGAAGATGTAGATCAGTTCTTTTGATTAAGATGAAACTTGACATACCTTTATTGAACTCTTTCACTAGCTTGGTTTTTGTGAATGATGAAAGTTTAATACAATACATATTAATACAAAATAACATCCCAGTCCCTAGACTGGAATACTTATAAAATGCTACCATATTGTTGAAGTCTGCGCCTTAAAATGACTTTGAGCTTTCTCTCAGGGTACGTTCTTACAACCCAGTTTGCTCCAGCACAGCTGACACAAGTTTTATTATCAAAGGTAGAAAACAGTGCTCTTGAGTGTCAGGAGAGCTTCCTGAGGAGCTGTGGAATCCTTGTGTAAATCCCAGTCCCTTATCTACCCTTGTTTCCCCTGCTCCCAGTCCAGCTCATTGCTCATTTTTCCAAAGGTATAGACAGGATGACTGAAAATCTTAATACTGCAAAAGTGACTGGCCAATAGAAAGGGTCACATAAGTGCTGATAAAGTGTGTTTGACAGATCTGGTGGCTTTTCACTAACTGTATTTCAGAGGTTTCATGCTGGCTGGCTTTTTGCCTCTCCTGAGGGACAGTAACAGGCAGCAGACTGTTTGAAGCTGCTACAGCTTTTATCATCCTGCCTAAGGCTACAATGTTTGAAGCTTGTCTTGAGTTCATGCTGACAGGGTCTTGTCCCTGTTCTTTGTCCTATTTTTTGTACTTCCACTTGTGTTTATCAGAAACTAACCTTTTTCTGCTTTTCTCTACTTTTTCATTTTATTCTTTTTTTTTTTTTCTTTTTTAAATGGCTAGGTCAATTTGCAAGAATACATTTTTGGAAGGCAGAGGGTTTGAAATTGGCACACAGCAATACTGATTTAGATCTGTATCACAGTATATTTGCATCCTGAAAGTTCACTGCTTCCCAAGCAGGAATTTTTGCAAGTCCAGTCTAGCCTGGTCTAACTCTCTGAAGTGTAGTTGTTCTGCACTTTCACTCTTACATTTTGCTTATCGTCCACTGGGATGAGTGTAAGAGTTTTTCTTAGTGATACGAGTATTTCTTCCTCTTAGATCCAAACATATGTGAATGGAATACTGTACAGCATCCTTGTCATCCCTTCTATCCGAGAAGAAGCCAGAGCAATGGTAAGAAGTGCTGCACAGAGATCAGTGCCTGTGCCAGAGATGGCCCTCACAGGGACCTGCTGAGCAGGGCATTCTGAGAAGCAAACACACAAGAGGCCCTCCCCTTTGATGCTCAGGAAAGTGTGAATGTATGTCTCAAATGCTTTTGCCATATTTGCTGGTCTTTTTCCCAGAAGTGGAGCCCCAGCAGCATGAGGGATTCTGTCTAAGTTATAAATCAGAATATTTTAGAATAGTGTGTCCTTCCAGCATTTTGTAGATTCCATGTGACCCAGGAGATGCTTTCATCTGCCCTTCTACTTCTTCCCCTTATGTAACTCATTCTGCACCAGTGAGTAGCCACTAAGAGGATGAATTCCTCTTACTGCTTTTACTTCTTCCTGGTATAGATATAGTTAGTTGGGGAAGGCAGCAGGAGGAAGGTTTCAGAACTGGCAATTGACCTCCTGTGAAAGTTAGTCGAGTGGTAATGACTATTTTAACTTCTGGATTTGAGGAAGCTGCTCCTTGGGATGGCAGCGTGCCTTTGTATCTAAAGAACCAACCCAGAGAGTTATGCAGACGTAATTGATGTGAGGTGTTTCACCTCACAGAACACAGAGGATTGGAAGTCATCTTAAATGATTAAAGACACAACATCAACCCTATAAGGAGCCATAAAGAGAGAGCAGGTTTAATGTCAAAGTGGGTTCTGCTCTCTTGTTTTCCCTCTCTGAACCTTGCACCGTTGTCTCTGTGGGTGCAAATTTGCCCTGTTCTGACGACTACTGTGTACTGAGTTCAGAAGGCAGAAGCAGCAGATCTTTTATGAAAATTTGCTGTTCTTTATGGATATGTCTGTGTTTAAACCTAGAAGCAATCTAGAGAGGGTATACCTTTTGGGTAGGGAGCACTTGGAGCTGGACACTGGTTTGCTTCACACTGCCTCTGTTTTTCCTGACAGTAAAAAAAAAAGAGAGAGATTTTAGCTAACACAACTCTTTCAGTGTGATCCCATGAAATACTGATCTAGCAATGTTTTCTGCTACATCCAGGGAATGGAAGAAATTCTGCGCTGTTTTATCAAGGAAGGAAATGCAGAGATGAACCGACAGATTGAATTTGTTATCAAGCAACTCAATTCAGGTCAGAGGAACAGATGTAGCTATCAGAGCTTTAAATCTTTCACAAAAGCCATAAAAAAAGCTAATGTTTTCAGTTGGCGTGTAAACCCTCAAAAAATAACAATACTGTGATGGTCTGAGAGGGGGTGAATAGTGAATGTCAGGATTTGAAAGATGTATTTTAAAATTTCTTTTTGTATTAAAATTATAAAGAAGAAACAAAAGGCTGAGTAGGTCTCAATTCCAGAGTTTTGGGACCATAAATAGAATGACCTAGACTGTTTATTTTCATGCCAGTGGCCTCACAGTAATGAGAGACTTCTGTCAACTGCAAAAATGTGATACAAATTTGTAACACAGGATTTAGGGACTAGGTCTGTCTGTGCCCATCTCTTGCTCTATTGAGGTGTAGCTTTATCTGAAATGGCTTATCCTGAATAGGGAACCGAAACCATCCTTTTTGGAGAATATGTTGATGTTGATGCTGCGTTAATACAGACAGGTATGAGGAGGTGGAACATTTATTCTATTCTGTGTTCCTTGTGACGGAAAGGAAGACTTAAAAAAGAGAGAGCAAATAATGAAAAGGAGATCAATTCTGATTAAATCTTTCTGTACAGTAAACATAGAACAAGTTTGACTGCTTTCTTTGGCTTTTGGAATGAGAAGACATTACAGTTCTAGCTGGTAAAAACATTAAAGTTCTAGCTTGTAGAAGAAATTACAGTTGTAGCTTGTGAAAGAACAAATAAAGTATTTAAGCACTATATTGCCACTGTATAAAATCTGTTCATCAGGGTTATGGAACTGCTCCTCTTCTACCTGGGAATGGTATTTTTAAGAGGCTTTGATTGGTGAGTCCACGTGAATGCAGTTTTCCAACATAAGCCTGGCTTCTTTTTCCAAGGAAATAATTTTGTCTGAAATTTAGAAGTATTCTACATGAGTACTAACTTTTTATGTACAGAAGCAGTATAATATTGAAGTGTTTGTAGGGAGAAGTAGGGGCTTTTACTATAAATTAGTTGGAAAATAGACAAACTAGCAAGTGCACACTCTTCTATTCAGGTCTTGTCAGTCAATACAGTGAGACATCACAGTGGATTTTATGAGAAAATAAAAATTCCAGAGTGTTTCTATGTCTGCTGTTTTTCCAAATATGAATTTTTTTCAGTGATTTCTAGAATGCTTTATAGGAGCAAATGATTCCAGTAGTTGTCTGGAAAAGAATGGGGCATCTGTATGAGAAACAAGCTAAATCTTGCTCTTGTCAAAGTGGGGTAATACTGAGATTCTGTTAAGTTGTGCATGTGCAACTGAACTTACATAATTTTGGGGCTTTTTCTTTTTAGAAGAGCCATTAAATGATGCTGTTGTGTCTGATGATGAAGAGAAAGAGGAGGATGAGGAAGTAAGTACAAAATCCTTCTGACACCTTTTAGAAAAATTCTTAACCTTCTAGCCAGAAAATGTTTATGTCAATAAACCAGACTTTGTTTTTTTGGTGGATTTTGATTTTGTTTTTTCCTTTTATTTGATTATTCTTGCATTAGCAAGAAAATTGGGTCTGTTTCCATTACCTTTTCTTCATTTGAAGTCCTACTCTTATTTTGGCAACTCACCACCGCTGTGATAACTAAAGGGTTATAGCTTGACACAAGTGAAGAGATGAGGAGTTACTGTAGCAGTAGAAATCTTGCTTTCAAGCAGACCCGTTTCAGCAGTTAAAAATAAAGGAAGCAAACGAACCTGTATATTACCAATATAATAAACAGGTTGTCACTTTTTCTTAAAGTATCACTATCTATTCTGGGTGTGACTTCTTTTGCTGTTTAGAAACTTTGAAATATATTTAATAAATTGCCTGAATGTAATGAAGAAAAACAGTAATTACACATAATAAGTCCTGAGAGAAAATAAAATAAAATTTAAAAAAATTAGGTAAGCATGAGAAACTATATCCTAATAAATATAACATGGTTAGCTGTGTATTTCCACCTCTACTAATAAATGAATTTTATACCAAAATTTCAGCATTTCTTAGGAAACTGTCTTCATGGATTAATGGGTATAGACAACACAGAGTATTTGATCACCTAAATTAAGAAGCAGAGCAATGTGTGAATCATGAGGGAAATGTTATACCCAGTCTTCACTGATGATGTTGCCATTTCTGCATAGGCATAAGTACACAGCGGGGGCTTGAAAATACAATGTGGGCTGTTATGTTGGGAGTTTCATCTCAAAGAAATCTACCACGTTGCCTTTCTCTTTTACTGAGAAGTCTTGCTTGAGAAATGTAGAAGAACAACTGTGATAGATGTCCCTGGGACAGTATTTGGGCATACTTAGGTGTGTGTATATGTGCACATACATTTGTAGCATGTATTTTGCCCTGAAGAAGTCAATGATATTGAGAGTTAATTAATCGCAAAATGTTCTTGTATTAAAAATGTTATCAGAGAACATATTTACTGAAAAGCAAGTTTTTAGATAAAACTTTTTTTTTCTCAACCAACAAAGAATAAGACGTATAAAATTTACTAAGTCGGTTGTGTTCAGTAGCTCATTGCACAGTAATGGAAATTATAGTGATTGGTGATAACCGTGGTACCCTCTAAAACTTACCCTGTTACTGCAGGGTGCACGTTGAGCCTTTTATGTTGTGAAAGCAGATAAAAATGTAAACATCCCGATTGTAACAGGTATGGTGTGCTCTCAGCTGCTTTGCAGGATCCAGCCTTTGCCTGGCAGTGCCAGGGAAGCCTTGTCCTGCTCGCATTATTTATCTGGTTTCTGTGTTGTGGCACAATAGCTGGTGAACACAGTGAACTAAATCGCCCTCGTGACTCTGCCTAAATTTAGAGCTGTGTGGAAATTCTAAGTTTAGAGCTAGAAGGAAGTTTTGTTTAACAATCAGCTCTCCCCCTTTTGTTCTAAAAAAAGTTTGTAAACTTTTTTTTAAAAATAGGATTAGATTACTGTAATTGTTTCACCTCCTGCAGTCCTGAAGTCACTTTTTGGTAATCTTTCCACTCCTCCCACCAAAATCAATGGTTGCCCTGCGAGATTGGCTTCCTGGGGACTAATCACTAAAACTTCCCTTTGTTTAAAATGGTGCTTAACACCCTTTAACTGATATTCCAAGGTTTTCATTGTCTTAGGTGTATCTTGAGAATCCAAGATGGTGGTGCTATTGCTTGAACTTCAGTGCACTTCTTTGAAGGATACCGTCTTTTGTTGGGAAAACACAGAGATAATGAACACCTTCCTGAAAGGCGTGGCATTGGATTGCGTGATAATGTTGAACACTTCCATCACTTTACCTGCTCTTGAGAGTGAAAGGATGAATTCTCCTGTTCAGTCATAACCCTAGATGAGTTGCTGCTGCTCACAATTCCAGCCAAGGCTCTAGGTCAAATAATTTTGAAATATATTTTTGCCACTGAACTACCGTGTGATTGAAAAGGGCTTCTGGCAGTTCTTATTATTTGACTCAAAAAATAACAGTAGGCTTTTGAAACAGAGAAGTGTCCAATTCCAGTTTTTCATTAGTTTTACCATTATATTAACAACTTTTTCAAGTGTAACATTAATTGCAACACATTTTAAAATCCTTATTGCTCCTGGGAACTATAATTCTGCTGTGCTTCGAGGACGCCTGGTTTCTTAGTCCCTCAGTTTAGAAAATATACTTTACAAACAGCATGGCAGCAAAACGTTGTTACTTTGTTAAATAAACAAAGATTTGTTGACTCACTACCTCAATGCTTGGAGGCCTTTTGTGTTTTGGAATTGCATTGAGTTATTGTTCTCTGATGGGTTCGGTGATAACATCTGATATGGTGATCTGGCAACAGAAAGTTTTGGAAAACTTTATCACCAGTCTTGCCTTTACTTAACTTTTAAACTATTGCAGACTGAATGCATTTCAGAAGATATCCAAATAGTGCCTATTTAGTAACATGCATTCAGACTGCTTAATGATGTTAGCATTCTTGCTCAGTATGGATACTTGCACCTTTAGAACTTCAGAAACAACAAACAGACGCTGATGAGCCTTAGTTTGCGGGTTTTACCCCAGTTTTTATTGTTTCCAAGAGCATGTGAAAGTTCCCCTTGCTGTTAGAATTACCTTTCATGAGGTTTTTTTGCTTTTATCTGTGTTTAATTTAGCCCTGATGAATTTTCTCCTGGCTTTGAGCAAATCTTGTGGTAATGACTACTTTCTCCTAAACACTGTGGCCAAGAGGCGGTTGAGCCTGTTAGAGGAAAATTCTGGGATTTCTAAGGGTATCATACACGCAGAAATTTAAGATTCTGTACTGTGTGACACTGGAGCATATAAGCCAAATAAAAAATGTCAATGTGTATACTGTTATTCAGAAATAAATTGGCTTTTAAGTTTGTCTGGTGAGCTTTAAGTTCACTAGAGTAGAGCTCAGGATATACTGACTCCTGGAGCACATACCCAACTTTGAGACCTTGCCATCTGGGGTGTGTTGACACCCACAGTCAGTGTGTGTTTTCTGGTGCTTAATACTCTCTTGACTGGTCTGTTAAATACTAACTTAATTTATCTTCAGTATTTGATCTTTACATTTTCTTTTTATTTGACTTGGACCATCGTAAAAAGCTGCTTGTAAAAGTGAATATGTGATACTGTAGCTCTAATTCAAAAGTTTAGTTACAAGCTGGAGCTGTGTTAGATAACTGCACAGTGATGATTTATCAGACACCCTCTGATCCACTGTCACTCAGCACCTGGCAATAAAATCAGTAAACTGCAGTGTGAAAATACACTTCAGCTAGAGAGCACATCAAAAGAGAGAGAGCTTAATCCCAGGACTTCAAGCCATTACATTACAGGGCTTTGCTGCCAGCATCTGCTGCAGCCTGTGAGCAGTGCTGAACAGGGCACCAATTGTGTTATTTCAGTAGTGGAATGATGGCACGTTGGGCGAAGCTCTTGTTTTCTACAAGGAGACAGAGCAGGGACACTTTCAGGCTCAGTTACCTGGTATGTTAAATAACATCAGGGAGCAAAATTGGCTGCATTAACAAAACAGACCTATTTATAGAGCTCATCTGTGCAATTCCTCTTCCCCCCCTCCCCCCCCGTACAGTATATTGTGGACTTTGGAGTGTGGGGTTCTGTTGGGCTTTTTTTTTGCTTTGCTTGATACAGATCATTGTTGCCTAGTCTACAAGTATTTATCTTTCTCCCTTTATCTGGCTTATTTTTCACACATACCCAGATTTTCAGGTAATTAGGAGCTGATGGTAATTTATCTTGCCTTAGAGAGAAAGGCAGATTGAACATCTTCATGAGGTCCTATACAGCCTTATCTTCTATGGCTGAGCATCTAGAGAATACATCTTCAGGAGGATAAAGAGGATTAACTATCTAGTAAATTACAGAAAAACTAAGTTACAGAAGAATTAAGTTTTTCATTAAATCCACACATGAACAAATACATTATGGAAAAATTTTACTCTAAACCTTGGAACGCTGTGTATTTTATTGGCAGTATTTCTCTAAGTACTACAGTTCTTCACATGCAGGCATCTTCTGTCTCTAAAGTTTAACCACAGCATCAGAAACACCTGCACAAGACTGGGATGTGACTTGGGACTGTGGGATGCTTGTGCCCCTTCAGAGCTGCAGTGGAAGACCAGACAGGATATTTCAAACCAGGACTGGATGGTGCCTTGGGCTACTGAATTGAGCCCTTTGTGTCTGTACTTTTTACCTCTGCTTGACATCTATGAATGAGAAGGTGATGAGCAATGAGAATAACTAAATCAAAAATTATGGGGTCTAAGCCATTTGATACAAAGTTCAATGAACTTGAAAAGAAAAGGCAATCCTGCAGAGCTCTGGGGAAGGCAACACCTACTTGTTCCGAGTAATGGTAGTCTTGTTTTGCATCAAAGACTGGAATCAGTCATCAACCATTTCCATTCTAGGAAATACCTTCTCTGTTCACACTTCCAATGTTTTTCACGTTCTTTTTGTAGAGCACTGTCCAAGCATCCGTGTTACTGGCTGATCTTTGTGGCAGAGGGTATTTCTTACTTTCAATATTTAAAGCTAAGTCTAAATCTCACTAAAGTGAAACTGCTTTTCATTTTCTTTGTACTCTGGGGCTCATTAAAGTCCAGTGGTTGTTGTTTTTAAAGGAGCTTATGCCAAGCTCTCTACATTTCTATTACAATATATCTTATTAGAATGATTTCTTTACTTTTTCTCATTTACTTTTTTCTGACAGTCATTGACATTTACTCTCACAACCTGTTTCAAAAGCAAAGCACATTTTCTTCCTGTGGAGTGGGTCTTATTTAGGGTATCTTGTGCAGGACAGAAGAGAATTCTTTTTAGCAGCAAAACACAAGCAATATTACTGTCTTGTTCTTGTTTTACTAGTTTTTGTTTGCTGGAGAAGCCCCTCAAACTTTAAAATTTCCTGGCTTGTTGATGTGTGGAAGCTGCAGAGCTTCCATGAAAGATGAATCACCCATAGTTATTCTAGAAATAAGTAGAGTGCATTCTTGGTAGTTTTTACTTGAAGTTGATTACATTTAGGTTTTGTGTATGATATTTATATCCTAAAGTACCCATCCAAGATACTTGTACTGACCTCATATTATTAGCTTTAAATCTTCCTTACAAACCTGCATTTTGCTGTTGCAGGAGGACTATGACGTCCTGGAGGATCTGGACAAAGATGAGGTTTTGCAGCCTCAGCTGGGAGAGCTTGCAGGAGAGAAGCTGCTAACGACCGAGTACTTGGGAGTAAGTACCACTCATTAGATTATTGAAATAAATTAATTTGCTGGATTAAGTGTTTAATTTCAGTAGTTTCACCGCTTTCTTCGATTTGTTGCTTGAAGAGCCAGGTGCTACCCCCATAGCAGTCTGAATCTTTCATAGTCTGTGCATGAGCTGTTGTTCAGAAGTAGAACAAGTCTGAGAAATAAGCTACCCTTTCACATGGGGTGGTCAGGCTGTGTCTTAATAATAAGCTACAGGGAGCCTTAGGGTTCTAGTGCTACATCACTGACACTGTGGGCACACAAAGCAAAGTACTGAGCAGGTTAATACTGGAACATTCTGCTGGTCTGAAATTATTTGGAAAAAAAAAAAAAAAAGTTGAAAAGTTAACTGCTCCTGCAGGCGTTATGCCGGATCAAGTATTGTCTGTCTTACTTCAAGCGGCAAAAAGCTATTAAGAAAAAAAGCATAAAGTTTATATGAATGCCAGTTAGAGTGCTGTGACTAATCTGAGATATTCAGAGAGCTGGAACACTCCTCCTATGAAAGCAGGCTGAGGGAGTTAGATTGTTAAGCCTGTAGAAGAGAAGGCTCCAGGGAGACCTTATTGTGGGGTTTCAATCCTTAAAAAGGGCCTACAAGAAAGCTGGAGAGGGACTTTTTCACAAGGGTGTGTAGTGACAGGACAAGGGGGAATGGCTTTGAACTGAGAGATTTAGATTAGATATAAGGAAGAAATTCTTTACTGTGAGGGTGGTGAGGCAGTGGCACAGGTTGCCCAGAGAAACTGTGGATGTCCCATCCCTGAACGTGTTCGAGGCCAGGTTGGATGAGGCTTTGAGCAACTGCTCTAGTGAAAGATGTGCCTGCCCATGGCAGGGGAGTTTGAAATAGGTGATTTTTAAGGACCTTTCCTATCCAAACCATTCTATGATAAATGTAACTGTATTCCTTTCAGGTCCCAGAGTCCAGTGCTGCTGATGGAAACATGACCTGAGATAAAATGTCATGGAAAAGCCTCCAGTTTTTTCTAGTGACACCAGAATGCGATTTAGTTTCTGATGCAGTGTGTCTATAGAATGTTCTCTGTGGCTCCAGTTACCTGCCTTTCCACTGATTTAATTTTTTTCTTCATTTTCTGTGTATCAGATAATGACTCACACTCCAAAAACTAAGAAGAAGCTGTTTTCTAGTGCCCGTCAAAGTATAGATGAGCCTCTCCAGAGACCTGTGACACCAGGTTATCACAGAACTGCCTACCTAATGTAAGTCCAAACAAATGAGACCAAGTTCATTTTTTTAAGCTCCTTTAAAAAGCAAAACAACAACAAAGAAAAAAACCACAACAGTGCCTAATAAATAAGCCTTCCCTACCTAAAAGTGCATTACCATTGTCATTCCTTAAAGATAATTTCAAAAAAAGGAGTGGAATATTGTAGGCAGAGGAACTTCCATTGGCTGAGGTCACATACTTGAAATAGTTGAGTAATTATTTACTGATCAAGTTGATTTAAATTTCCATTATGTTCTGCATGCTCATAGTTCTTTCAACTTCTCGTAATATGTTATATTGGTAATAGAATACAATGCCTGGGATCTTCCACTTTACAAGCAATAAAGTATATTGCTCTGGGGAGGTTTGCTAGCCACCCATAAGAGGACAGATTAAAAAGAAAAGTGAAAAGACAAATATCTTCTTACATTAAGTTTCCAGATGTGGAAGAAATACATTTTCCATTGGGAGCGTTTGTGACACCTTACTCTTGATACGACTGGGGTCAGAGTAGAAGGCTTATTGTAAATGAAGAACAGCAATCTTACGGTATAGAGCTCCTTGAATATTCTCTGCCTTTTGTTAGAACAAGTGTGCCTTAATTTCTGAGATGATACCTGTCCTGCCCACTGTCCTGACCAAGGAAATAAAATACCAATGAGATTTCAAATTTAAATGATTTTTTTACTTTCAGTTGCATACAGTTTTGTATTTGGTCAAATCTAGGTAGCTACGATACAGGCAGCTGTTATTGTGAGGATTTAATGTTTTCATTTCTGTGGATACTAACTCTGAGAGACTATAAATGTAACAAAGGTTGAATAACAGGTACTCAAAAGTCACAGTATCGGTGTAGCCAAGTGTGTTACAATGAACGGGTAACCTGAAACGGAACAGTGCAATGGAGTTAGATGTAGTTCTTAGAAGAACCCATCAGCCCTGACGATTGTGCCATGTCATTCCCCCTGCCATTATTTGCTTTCATGTTTATATTTTCTTAAGATACATTTCCTCCTTTTTTTTTAGTGTGGAAGGTGGATACCGAGGGCAGTGAGGACTGATTTAGGCTGTAGTTACACAGGTGTAGTTGAATCTGACTGAAATCTGTTGTTGTTTTGGACAAGGAGTGGTGCAACTTTATCTTGCCCATGTTTATTCCCTCCATCTTTCTCATGCTGGCATTAGCATTCCTACAAGCAGATGATCTGACTAGGAGCCCTCCTGAGTCATCCAAATATGTCTTTTTGGCAGGTACTGTTTGTATGGGATTAAACATATTGGGTTACCAGGGCCTTAGAACAGACAAGTGTAACATACCAGATCTGGGCATGGAAAAACCCCCAGATGACATTTATTTTTTTAAAAAGCCAGATGAAGGAAACATGCACTTCCAAAGCAGAAAAAAAAAGAACCTTTAGCTATCCTGGGGCAGAATTTGTCTTGCAGTCTTAATTTTTCTTCTGAGTACTAGTCTGGATAAAAGGCATCTCTTTGAATATGGCATCTACTTCATCTGCCTGGTATAGCCTGAATGGGAATTTGATGTTCTTACTTTGTGTCCTTTCTCAGTGTGGTCAACCTTCTGCACCATCATAACGTCCGCAGCTTTTGCAAGACCCCTCCCTCTATATTAAATCTGTGTGTTTGTTTGTCAGAAGAAAATATCGACTAATTAATATAACCTCATATTAGTAACATAGTGATTATTTAGTTGTTTTTCTGCAGTCCTCCAAAAGAGCTGCAGGCCTTAAAAATCTAGACTAGCTAAAATATGACTAAATATACTTTGCCACTTTACTGTGGGGTCACTGTTACAGAGTTCAAGGTCCTGTGCAGTTTTTTGCCCATGGTGGGCTAGGAGTCCTGGACTGATTCTGTGGAACTGGCTGTTAGGGCAGCCTCACAGCCTATTTAGAAAGTATTTTTTCAGGAATAAATCTGAGTTACCACTGAGGTGTCTAAGCATTACATTCCTGCTTTGTAAGCAGAGAGAAAACCAGGCTTCTGAGAATAAATTGACTTTCTTATGGGACGTCAGAAAAACGGTGGCACACCTGTGGGAGTGGCTTTTTATTTCATGGTGCCATGTGGTGCACTGCAATTTATGCATCAGAAGTAACCTCTGGAAGCGATCTCGTGCCTCTCTTTACCACCACCTACCCGGGCAGTGTGTTTGCTTAAGCGTCCCGGGATTCTGGAGTGACGCACGTTTTGGCGAAACTCGAATCTCCTCAGCTGAACAGTTGTGTGGCTCCTGCCTCTGCAAGACGGCTTCAGGTCACTGCTGGAGACAAATTAAAAACACATTTCTGCCATACTGCTTCTGGTAGCTTTGGGTCTGAAAGAAGGGTTAGTTTGATGGTGTGAAGCAGCCTTTACAGATTGGCCCACTGTGCGAACTAGGGAGGGAAAAATGTAAACAGCAGAAATCTAATGAGGTGAAAATATCTGAAAATTGATTTCCCTCCTGCTCTGGGCAAATGGTAGAAATAATATAAGTGTTTGGTGCTCCCATGTTTTAAGTAGGAAACAAATGATACCACCCTGAATGAGAAGCTTGTCCTTTCTATCTAATTAATCTACATGCAAGAAAACTGCAGTGAATAGATGAAGACATTCTTGAACTACATTTTACAGCAGAAAAGGACAAGCTTTGATGGCTTTTATGCTGTTCTACTTTTAGTACTAATTCATTTACTAAAATGAAGGAATGCTTGCTTAGGAATTATTGCAAGAGGAGGACAGTAAAATCTTATCTGCCTTAATTTGAAAGCAATATCTGAACTGGATGTATTTAAGTGGCTTGTATCAGAGGAAATTTTAGGAAAAATGTTAAACACGTTTGCCTCATATACAAACTTGTCTACCTGATACAGTCCAGGACAGTTGATCTGAATTATCTGAAATTTTTGATTCAGCAGAGTAGTTAAACTATATTAAGAATTTGTGTAAATGCTTCCATTCAGAATTGAAGTAAATATAACTTGTTTGAATTTCTTCATGTGAGACTCCATGTAATACATTCCATTTAAAAACCTCATGAAAGAGGAAGCAGTTGGAGATATTATAACGTATCTCTTTGAGTTGTTGGTTCATACCTCCAAAAGGAGGAGGGGGAGTGGAGATTTCTAGTGCTGAATAGAAGTATTCACACAGAAAATTAATGCAGAATAGCCACTGCACATGTAGCAGCTATTCCATGCTAATTTTTCTCTGACTTCCCAGTGCAGACAAGGCTCTAGTTACTTCAGATGAATTGTCATGGGATCTCTGTATGGACAAGCTCTTGCTGTATGGAGCTGAGGGAGTCAGGAAATATTGGAAAGCTGCCTTCTTTCTTTTCAGTTTTTTTCATTTTTCCCTCCTCTTTAAAGACTCACTGGCTGAGATCACTCAAGGGGGATTGAACTACTTAATATTCTGCAAGCTGTTCCTTAGAAACTGATTGAGCTGTGAAATCATTAACTGCCTCCTTGGCTGCATCCTTTTTACTAGAAATATAGTTTAGTTACCTTAACCTGATATTGGGCACGGAAACTTCCTGTGTCTGCCAACTTCTTTTCACACATTTTTTCACACCCCTCTTGCTTCTACTGTTTTATTGCTTCCTATTAAGCAGTTGTGTTCCTGTTCTGTCCTTCAGCTGCTTCAGTTTCTCACTCATCCACCTCACTTGTGAAATCTCACCTACTTGGTTTAAGTCCGTATTGCATACTGCTCTTTAATGTGGAATCCTTGTAATATTCGGGAGTGAATCTTAAATCCTTGAAAAAGCTAAGTATTGAAGACCTCTCAGGCCCATTTCTACAGTCTTTTTCTTTAAGTGTCCTGCTGGTATTTTGGATCTTCAGACTGCAGGGAGTTATGGTTTCCTTTCCAGTTACGGTTTCCTTTCCTCAGCTCTTTTATTGCAGTAGGAATTGCAGTTGGAAAAAATGTTAATTTCAAATACATCTGATGTCAGCTGGTTTGGGGGAGCTGCAGTCAAACAGTTAAATTATGTCCTTAGCACTGGTTTGCAACATGAAATATGAAATAATTCCAATATCTACTGTGTCATTACAGGCAATTAGAAGAAATTAGAATTTACTCTCATGCAACTGTACTGGAAGCATTCACCTTGCATTCTCCTTTCTCCTCCAGGCCAGAAAACGATACCAGTTCTTGTCACGACAGGGATGAGAAGCTGCAGTCTCCACTGAGTGGTCGTTCTCCCGTTTGTGGTGGGAGCCAGTCCAGCATTTCTGACCTCTGCATTTCCCCTTCACGTAAGGATAGTCTGTGAATGCTGTTGTTAATTGCTGATGCCTTTCTTGACCGGGTCATGCTGTTGGGGGCCTGGACTGTGTATTGTAGATTGGGGTTTTTTTGTTGTAGTGTGGAGATGTCCCTCTGTTGATAGGTCCTGGGTCAGTCTGCAGGACCTTGGTGCACACAGTAGACTTTGTCTCAAGCTGAGTGAATGGCTACAGAAGGTAATGTGTGGTCAGCAGACACCAGTGGTTTCACTTGCCTGGCTCCATCTTGTTTCCTGTGGAAGTGCCAAGGATCAAACCCAGGGCTTCCGATGCATGAAGGATACTGTATTTCACTCTGCCATGTTCTCTGCCGAGGGAAGGAGCTGCAGCCCAGAGACAGTGCACTTCCCAACAGGCAGAGCCCCTTGCTTGATCAAATATACCCTTGTTTGGATCTAAATGAATCACTGTCTGCTGGCACCTGCAGGCTCTGTTGGCTGGACCTCTGTGTAAAGCTGAAGGCAGCTGCAGTTCTCTGCTTAGATTTGCAACTGCATTCAGACCATCCAAGGTTGTGGAGGATGGGCAGGCTGGTGCTGTGTAGTTGCATTGTGGGTGATGCTGCTAAAGATTCTGCCCTTGCAGCTTCAGCTGAAATGAATGCAAACTCAGCTGGGCCTGAGAGCTCCAAAATTCCATGTGGTGGAATTAAAGAGGATATAGACTTCTGAAATACTTGATTTCTGAATTTCTGATATGCACAAAATCATGGAACTTTGGATGTGGGAGTTTCAACCTTCTTGCAAAGATTCATTAACATTTCCCAATTATGGATTTAAGGCAAAAGGTTTAGCAATCTTAGATAAAGGATCTTGCAGCATATTCAGGACAGAATTATTAATAGGCTGAAAGAAAGTGTGCCTTTACTTTGCTGAAAAATATGCTTTGAAGCAGTAAAGGAAGAGCATACTTTTTGCTTTCTCTTCTATTTTTTTAAATTTCCTAAAGGAAATGAAAGGGATTCTGAGAAAAGTAACTGAGGCCTTGCAGATAGGAATTTGCTTGTGTAATGCCTTAGAGCTGATAAATACAACATGCTGAATGGAAGCTGTATGATAGAAACAGGTTAAGCTCCTGTCCAAGATGGGCACTTGAGTTCTTGCTGTTGTGTAGGAATGAGAGTTTCTGTCCTCAGCTTTCTGTGCACAGTAACACCTTGAGTACCCTCCTGGGCCTGTCCCAGGGCCACAACTCAGATCAGCAAAGGTTGTAAGCTAATCAAGAGCATACTGACTTGACAGTTTTCCTATAGAGAAGAAAAAAAAAGATATTTTTACATACTCATGCTTTGTAAAGGAAGTTAAGCCAAGAAGATATAAAAAGTGTTCCTATTTGCTGTTCTAAAGTGTAATTGGATGCAATTCCTAAGGCGCTGTGCAGCCATCCAGAGCCCAACATGCCTTCTGAACCACATCTTGATAACATCTCGCCAGTGAAATGCATTTACTCACCTCTGGCACTTTTTCTGTGCTGCTGTTGCTGTCTGATAGTTTGCTTGTAGAGATTTGTGAGGAGGTTTAAACAGAGAGCCTCAGTAAGTCAGCAACATAAATGGTGTTAATTTTTGATGAATATTGATTCAAAGTCTTCATGCTGAAGAAATTCCTTCCCACTTTAATGCTTCATATTGCCAGAACTTTGCTTGCAGCCTCTGTCTAAAACTTTTTTATCTATTTTCAGTCAAAATTATATGCAGGTGGCTACTAATAAGATTACTGGATTATACTCTTTTCTTGTAGGAAAACCTTGGAGATCATAATATAAAGCATATTGCAAGTTTACATGCATTATACATGTGAAAAGACAAACAATTTTTCTGTGGCAGAGGCAATTCTTCCTGGCACTAATCCAGGCTATAAAATAACACTGAGACTACTTGAAGGATTGCCTGAAGTCTGTTCCAGGTTTTTGCAAGTAGCCAGTGAAATATGTGCTTGTCTTTCTTATCTTTTGGGACTTAGAAATGAAGAGTAGGAGAAGAGAAGTGAAAAGAGACTGCACTGCTGGACCCCTTGGTTGTTAAGTGTCAGTGACAGGACTTTCATTTTACATAATGATAATTGAATGGGTCTTTGGATAGCTCCTGTTTTCCAAAACGCAGTGGGGTTTGTAGTATTTAAATTGGAAAGGCTGTAATTTAAGACAATGGAAAATAAACCATTTCTCTTCTAGTGCCTTCTAAGATGCAGCAGGGAATGGTACCCAAGAGAAAGGAGTAAAAATAATTGTACTGCTTCTAGAGGCTCTCATCATGCCCTGCTAAACATCTTTGCTGTGCAATAGATACGCAATTTATTGAGTTCTGATCTTGGTCTGATGGTCATTCTGCAGTACCAGGAACCTGCTCACTTCAGAATATGTGTTTTGCAGGATCACGTAAATGCTTCGGGACTCAGTTTCATGCAGTCAAGTCATGAAATGAATAGTAAGAGAACAAGAGGGAAAAAAAAGAATAAAAACTTCATGTGAACAATTAGCATCATCGAGCTTGTATCTACCTCAAGGAGGCTAAGTTTAGCCTCAAGAAACGTTGATCCTCTTCTGTTTTCTAAAAATAGACTAGTTCTTAATGTCCTCCATGCCTGGAAATATTCGGCTGTTCTTGGGTCAGTCTGACTTTGTCTGGGTCCATCCTCCCTTTTTGTCACTTTGGTAAAGAATCAATAATTCTGGCACTTTTTTCTTTCTTGTCTCCTGTGAGCAGAAAACTTGTGGACTAAAGATGAACCCTGGTCATCTTACTACACTTATTATGCTGAATGTCAGACAGAACATGTGCTGGGCAGAGAAATGCTTGTCTGACAGTGACCTCATCTGCATTCATATCAGCATGTGAGAGGAAATCAGGCCGCAGGCTGTCCTGAGCATGACAGGAATGGAGCTAGGGATTTTCCCTAAACTTTTATTCAACCTGCACATCTTGATAGCCTCTTGTCTCTCAGCAAACTGACTGTACTTCACTTCCCCATTAGTGTAAGAAAACAAGTCTGACAGAAGTGTAAAACACTGTTTTTTGTCTGCAGTGATTGCCTGTTACTGTGGATATGAACAGACAACTGCAAGTAGTTGAATCACTTCAACTGTGGTTTTAATTAGATAGTGGGCATTAGCTGAAAATTGTGGTTTTAATTAGATAGTGGACGTTAGCTGATAAATGCTAAGGGATGGTCTGCATGCTCCTGTCCCATTGCTGCTGCAAAGTGTGGCCAGTTTATTTTCCAGTCGCAGAGGGCTGGAAGTATCACACCTGCACTTGTTTTGCTCAGATGATGAGCTGTAGTGCACTGCCACACGAACTCAGTAGCCTGTTAATACCTCAAGGACTTCTCCCTACAGCAGGAAGTGCGACCTGATTGTATTTCTAGTAAAACTGTAAGGAGAAAACTGCTCCCTGAACTGTGTTTCTTTTTTAAATAGCAACTGAAATGAAGTCACCTGAAGTACTCTCACCAGGCCACAGAATGGACCGAAGCATCCCAGCTGATGACAATATCTTGTCTTCCCAAGACTTCACCGAGGACAACAATGGGCAGTTGTATAGGTATGATTTATCCAGAGGATATCTAAAATGGGTTGTACCAGCTAATTCCATGGCGCTGTAAAGACAATCTGTGAAGTCATTTGATGTATGATGTAGTCTGGCCTGAGACAGCTGTGGTGGTGCTTGCCAAACAAAATACCCTTAGCAGTGCCAGAGGCAGCTGTTCAATTTCTAAGCATCTGGTTCAGAATGGGAGAAATCTCAAGCAAGACATTATTAATGAACTTCACATGCACGCTCAATGCAGTCTTCTGCAAATAAAACTTCCAGATTGCTTCCTTAGATGACTTGACTCTAGCCCATGAAAAATCATTTATTAAAGAAATAGGTAGGACTGTGGGAAGAGGGCAGGAATTAACTTGCAGAAGGAAGAAAAATGAAGTGTTTAAGTGGGTTCAGGGTGTTTAAACACTCTGAGTTGCTAGCACTGCTGACCAGAGCCTCTGATTTATCCTCTAGATGAATATAGCAAAGGAGGCAATATTATGAGGTCACCCAGCAATGGGATTCAACTCTTCCTTGATATTATTCCTGTTAAATGAAAGGCCTTGCTCTCCTTATCCTGCTGGTAGCTTGAGCCCTCTGTGAAGCCTTTGTCATGCGTACAACTGTGATGTTATATATTGGATGAGAACTAGGAATTCATTAGCAATTGGACCGAGGTTTACCAAAGTTTTCAGGGCCTGCATGTGTCCTTCAGACATTAACAGCTTTTTCCTATAGCGAATTTGATTGGGCCAAGTTTTAAACAGTAAGGATAGAGAAATTTTAAAAGCGAGTACATTCCAGGACTAAATCACAGAATGGGTGGAGATGTGTTAAAGGAAAGGTTTTACTAGCTCTTTAGGGACCTGATTTTTCAGAAGTCTTGATGGTTTGTGTCAGTTAAAACTGTAGCACTACTGAAAACTGGACTCTCTGCCTATAACTTTGTTTCTTGCAGGTCTACAGATGCCTGCGTGTGGTTTTGGGGTTTTTGGAAGGTTGTTGTGGTTTTGGTTGTTTGGTTGGGAGTTTTTTTCCCAATTGAGATGTTTCCATGGTGAGATCTGAGAAATTACATGTTGTCAACAAATTATCACTGGTTTCAGCTGAAGTACTTAGAAGTCCTACCTCTGTCCCATCATTACCGGTTTTATTTCTGTTGTCTGTTGTAACAGTAGCTGAGCACGTAATAGAAAGAGACCATGAAAATTTTATGGCCAAATAGCTTGCTTTGTGATGGAGAGAGATACTATTTTTCGGGCTCTGGCTTGCAAAAAACAAATCAAATTGGCAGCATCTTACCCCCCACCTTAGTGAGGTGTTTTGCTTCTCTGCAGTCATAACCTATTATTAAAAAGGCATGTCCCTGGTGATCTTTAATTTTTCTTCATAAATGTATGTCTAAATCTCAGTCGTAGATGGACTTGATAGAACTGAAGGCACAGGTGCAGTATCCAACAGAGGAAGATAATATCTTTTCACCTAGTGCTTCCTTAGCATTCGTACAGTAAATTGTGTTTCCAAATGCAGCCTCGAGTTACGGATATGGGAATGTGGCCATCCACACAGTCCAAGCAAACACAGGGTTTTCTGTGTCAGGGTCTTTTGTTAATATGTTGGTGTTGCAATAGCTAGGCCCGCCTTTTCATTCTTTCACTCCTGGAAATGTTCTTTAATTTGTTTGCATAACAAACAGAACTAATAAATCACTGCTTTGCTCATAGTTTTGTCCACTGTAAAAAATGTCCCCTTCCTAGAGGCAAATACCTATTAGGCAAATACTAAGACCTTCCTAGGGAGGTATTCATGAGAAAGGAAGGGCTGAGTTGGGGTGGGGAAACAGTAACTGCTCTTTCTCCTCTAACTTAGCAGTTTAAATTGGGAATTCAACTGCACAGTGATAAGTGAAATTACACAAAATCAGCCCTGGTAGTGACATTTCTGTTGCAGTTGTTTTATTTCCACAGGAACAAATGATTATTCCAGCTGATGGATGTCAGACTGGCAGCTGCCCCGGCATTGCTATTCCCTCCCTGTTGCATTTTGATCATGTAAGAATATAGCACTATTGTGCTTTTTAGCCAGTCAAGGATAAATTTGTAATGGATTTGAGTTTACAGTTGTGACTGATTGAAAAGACTCTTTTTTATTTGTGACCGGGTCTGGTATTATCGTAATAAAGAACTTAAACTCTGCAGGATCTTCTTAGGTCTGTATTGGCCTTGCTTTTCTGATAATCTGGTGAAATTGGTCAAAAGTCCAAGTGTATTCTTGGAGAAAATGGTCTAATTCACCTTTGTATGTTCCTGTGTCATCTCCTGGCTGATTATTCTGATCCCAGTGTCAGCATGTTGTGCACTTTTTTAATAGACAGTAATTTCAGATTTTCCAAGTAAACAGTTTTCTTTCTTCTCAATGCAAATACAGGTTTTTATGTGAGCTTGTTAAAGGTTTGGGATTTTTTTTTTCGTTTGGTTGGGTTTTTTAGTTTGTTTTTTTTTGTTTGTTTGAGCACTTATCACACCTTGTCATCAATGACTCCTTTACCAAATGTGGTAGAACATTTTCCCACGCTAGATTTTGCTTTTTCTTCCTTCAACTCATCAACTTTGGAAGGATACCTAATAGCACTCTTAGGTGTTGTCCTGAGGATTATTTTGTGTTGAGCTTGGCCTGTTTATTGATACAGGGAAGGATTAGGTGGTTCTGTGACACTTGGGCACATGGAGACCCAGAAAAACAACAGGGCTTTTTCAACTTCATAGTTTTTGCTACCAACCTATTTCATATCATCTTTCCCTGAAGAGTTTGGACAGACATGAACCATTCTGTGTGATCACTGTGTATCTCTTTCCTTGGTAAGGTGACATGACTGGTTGTGTTGCTTTGCTTTGTCACCAAAGTGCTTCTAGTCTGGATGCCAAGGTTACATCAGTGAAACTCTATGGAGATGGTTGATGGCTAAAACACCACTTTTTAGTGTATGGGAATACAGATCCAAGGGTTTTTTTATCTTATTGTTGAATAAGGAAACAAAAATCCCTCGTTTGTGGCTCAAAAACTGCTTTGAAGCTGTTGAATCTTTCTTTTTTATCTGCCTAAGAATGTCATAGCACACATAAGATTATCATGAAGAGCACTAGTGAATTGAAAAACCAATTCACTTGAACTACCTCACTTTACCAAAGTGAGTAAAATGACAAAAAGTAATAGCAATGAGACTATTTTATGGAGAGAAAGATATTTAAATATTTCTGTGGTCCACACCTTGGAGTTCTATCTAGCCGATTTTACTATTTTGGGTTTGTTTTGCAAGTGTGTTTCTGCTGACATCTGCCACCTCTGCCTTTGAAGTAAGACAAGTGTTAACACTTGTAATACTCATAGGCTGCAGAGATGGTTTTTAGCAGAGCAGTTAGCACATCTCTGTCCTTAATAGTTAGCGTATTCAAATGCAAAATACAGACAATAATGCTATTTAAAATACAAAAGGAACACTTGCCCAAATCCCCTGCAAGGTGAAGCAGGGCTGTGGAAGGGCTAAGCAGCACTGACTCAGCAGCATTCCCAGGGGAGGAGGAGAGATTAAATATCTTGAAAATCCTCCTAATCACCCTTTCTGATGGTCACAAAGGGTTCTTTTGACGGAGGTAGTAACACGGAGACTTCAATTTTAATCACTGATCTTTGGATGGCACCTTTTTGGATCTCCTACCTTTGACTCTTTGATTTCCTTTTTTAAATATGATGAGCTTTTTCATGTAATTATGAGTTCAGTTCAACCTTTTCTCCTTTTGAGAGAAAATCGGATCACTACTGCAAACATTAATAGAGATTCAGAATTATTTTAGAGCTTTGCTATTTCCTGGTAGCCTCTGTTTTTGTACCTGGGAAAGAATACATGCTGGGAGCAAGGAAAAACAGTGTATCCTCACACAGTTATTGACTATATTTTAAAGAACTGTATTCTTGCAGCACAGGCAGACTGTGAAATAGCAGCAGATGTTTTATGTTCTCAGTGTGAACAAGGAACCTGTGTGCTTAGGGAATTTATTTTATAGATGCCATCACAACTTTTCGCTCTTTTGACAAAGCCTTCAGGAGTTCTACAAATCTTAGCCAGGAGCCACAGAGGCTGCCTGTGTCTACCAAGACTGTGACCTATACCTGACAGAAATTGTGGTTTCTGTGCCCTAAAAGGATGTATTCCTGTACTGTAGCATATCTGTGTATTTTTTCCACCTCAGAATGAGTCACTGAATGCGATAAATACAATGGAAAACAGGCTAAAGATCAATTACTGATTTGCAGGGAGCTTAACTGAACCTGTTCAATCCTGTTGTGCAAAGAATGAGGTTTGAGTAGGATAGAGAGGTCGACAGCCTGGTTAGAGGCTGTGCAGTGAGTACATATCCCAGGGCAGTGCCTGTGGTGCCATGTTCTTTTCCATTTGCAGTCTCCCTGAATTTTGAGCAGCCTGTCATGCTGTCACAGCACAGCATGTACTGCAGGTTTCACTTGGTTGCAGACTTACTATGCATACATATTTCTCCATGCATTGCTAACCCTTTCCATCTCCTCCTACAGCGAGTTTCTCTCAGCCTTCACCAGCAAACCCAAGATCCCTCGCACTCCTGAAGAGCAGAGTACCAGCCCTAAAAAGGGAAAGGTCCCGGCCATTGCCCCCCAGTTCTCTCAGTCTGGACCCCAACAAACAAGCCGTCCCAGCTCCTCAGGATCATCCAAAGGAGCGGACAGAGTAAGTGGAAAAAGTCATCACTCTTTTTATCATTCCTTGGGGTGGGAAAGGAGGGAGCACTGTAGAAACTCTTTAGGAATGAGGTCGTAGGCTACTAATGTGCCAGGAGTATATGACATTGTACTTGTCGTCTGCAGGATGTACAACCATGTAATTATACCCTGCTGAACACTGCTCTTATTTCCAGGCTGTCATGTGAGCAGTTAAAAGACATGTTTTTTCTTGTCTCTGGGTGGAGAAAAGTGGCCCAAATTCTCAGAAGTTTTTTTGGACATTTCTGTTCTCAGATTTGACCTTCTCTAGATGTCATCAAATTTTTTCCTTTTCTTTAGACACTTGTTCACTCTGCTGTGTAACTCATTTAATGTTCTTGAATTTGGATCCCTGGGTATGTCTACTCTGCAACTGAAAGTAGACCAGAGTGAGGCAGTTCAGAAGATGGGCTCAGGGCAGCCTGGTGAGCAGAGAGCCAAGCACACTGTGCTGCCTGTGGCAGTCACCATTCTACTGGAGGCTTGTACTGCAGAACCACATGGCTGTGTTGTGGCCTGAAAAAGTTTAAGCAGTACAGTCTACAGAGTGTTCAAAAGGGAGGAGGGCTTTCATCTGAGGTTGGAGGAAAAGGATGGACACTTGCTTGAAGCCAGGCAACACAAGCCCAGTAAAATGGAAGTGCTGATCTTGGACACTCATACATCAGTAAACACGTGTGGTGTGTCAGCTGTGGAGGTTTTTTGGGATGGAGAGGGAAGAAAGAGGCATTCTTCAGTAATTAATAAGTTTTTTCCCAGGAGTGTGGATAGGACTAGCTGGGTTCAAATACACCTCGGTGTCCACCATCAGTGAAAATGGCAGGAGTGATGTATGTCCTTGTTTCAAATGCATTGTTACAAGTTTAGTGATGATTATTTTATCACAGTGTAACATCAGTTCTGTTCTTTAATTGTAACTGTTACCTTGAAATATTTCACAAAAATGTAATAACTAATACCTTCCCAAGAAATTCGGGGTATATGTATATTATCAGTTCCTCATTACAAATATGGAAAATGAAATAGATTTGAAATAACCTAGTAAATCAGTAACAGAGCTGGAAAGAGCATCCTAAATCTTCTGTATTGCTCACTCTTCTGTCATTCCACACAGCTGCATGTGCAGGGAGATAGTGTGATTTTATTCAGGCAGTACAGGTGTGGCAGTGGAAGGGAATGTCCTTGGTGGTAGAGGGAGGTTTTGACCTAGAGATTGCTTACTTGAACATTCCTGTGCTGAGGTAATACTGCCGGCTCTTTTGGCTTTACCTGTGCTGTGCGTGCCCCATGTTTCACCTCTGGCATCAGTGCTTTCTGTTTCCTGTGACAGCAGCACTGCTCTGCCCTGACTGGATGTGGTGTAACACCCAAGAGTCTGTCTCTGGTTCCTGTTTCGGTTCATTTCCAAAGAAGCCCTGATGAGGAAAGGAAAAGCACAGCGTGTGTGTCCATGTGTCTCTGTGTGCACACAAAAACTTCTCTGCATATTCTAATTTCTCCAGGGCAGCTTTACACCCGTGGGGGTGTGTGTCCTAGGAAAGAGGTGACACACATATGTTGGCTCTGGAGCAAGATCCTTTTCCAGTGGCACAGTGAATAACATATTTAATTTTCAAATTGCATTAAAGTAGGTCACTTGGGTTTCTTTTCTCTGTGGATTCAGTATACGTGATTTGTTAATCCAGACTCTTGAGCTCTTCTTTTGTTGGATAGGATGTGTCTTACAGTATTCTTCTTCTTCATATGTGCATCCCAAAGCTGAATGTATAGCAGGCATCCCATCTTGCCATGTGTCCATTTACCTTTTCTCCAGATTTTTATCTTGGGATTCTAGGTTATCATTTTCTATCTGTCCACATGTGCCATGAGACAGACTTAGTGTCAGCATTGAATGTTAAAATCTTCCTGCTAAAAATAGCAAAGAAATTATTTTACAAACAAGTCATCTTCCATCCACTCTGTGTACATGTATCCAGCCTTGTTGTCTGCTGTCACAGAGCACCTATTAGTTCTTGTCCATCCTGCAGGGGCTTTCACACAGGTGTTTGTGGTTGAGAAAAGTGAGATGAAGGTTATGAGGACCAGATTTTTAAAGGACTAAAAAGGGGCTTTAAGTTCCTGTGTTAAAGCTTAAGGTTCTCAAAGGTGATTCTCAGCTGTTACCTAAAGGTGCAGGGAAGGTGACTCAAGCAGGTGAGCCCCTAATGTTTCCCTAGTAAAGCTCTGTGGTACTGCTCCTTTAATTTCCTGGCTGACTCATCTGTAAATCCAAAATGGTATCAAATGCACAGATATCAGCAATCAGTAGATTTCAGCAGTTGCTGCCTCCCATTTACCTGCTGCATAGGTACGTAGGTTTTTACATATCAAGAGACCCTGTTCCAGTGGAAGATTATCTTTAGTTTTTGGATTTCTTGGTATTTCTGGAGAAATGCAGGTTTTTATAGGTGATGGACATGATGACAAAAAGATGAGTTTCTGATTGTACTTGATGTGCTCGCTTATTTTAGAGACACATTTTTAGCTTGATTTTAATATTTATTATATGTGTATTTTCTGGAAATAAGTTGATTTTATATAAACCTAGCTGAACGAGCTGGACTGCTCCTCTGGAAGCGTGGAGTGTGCGGAATGCCTGAGGAATGCAGAGGAAGCACAGGTACTTAGTTCAGCTACAGGCCTGGGGCTGGATTCCTGCCTGAGATGCAGCCAGCTGCTGTTAGCTGAGCTGTAAAACTGTACCTTAAAGCAAAAACCAAGCCCCTTCAAATAAAACCAGCCGTGCTGGGACCCACTGTGATTTCCACTTCCTAGCTGGCACAGGGATGACACTGGCAGCATGGCTGGAACATAGAGTTCCAGAGGGAACAAAGGGACCTCCAGATTTAGACCTTTTCAACTGTGCTCCATGTGGACATGGTTGAACGGTTTAATCTACCCTGTTCCTTATTCTACATCTATTCCAGGCAACTCTTCATGGGCATGCTGAAGCTGTTTGCAGTGTACCAAGTTCTGCCTAGGGCACGTTGGAGCTAGGGCAGTTCAAAAATCTCTACCAGAAGAATGAGGAATGTTTTTTGTTGGGAGTGCGACTGGGCCCTGGTGTCTCCCTGTCAGTTCTTACCGTGTCCATAGACAAGGGGTTGCCATAAATACGTTCTGCATTTTTAAGTTGCAGCACTGGGAGATGAAGTGCCTTTCTGCATGGTTTTTGTGATGTTTGTGTCCCTGTACAGGTCGAGCAAGTGTTGACCTCAGGCAGCTCCTATCTTGTAATAAATCCTGCTTTCAGCTGACAGACTCTTTCTTGCTGTTTTTCTGCAGGCAGCCAGTCCTACAGGAAGTGAGAACAGTTCCTTTCCTCGAGAATCACCTGTCACATTGTTGAAGGACAAAGCCAGCTTCCTGTAATGAGCTTTACTGGTGACCTACGGAGCAGAGAGTGAGGTTGTTGACACCACATGGCATTCGCCTTGCACTGATTCCGGGATTATCTGATGGGATGTGTCTGTTGTGGTCTCTAAAGCTGGCTAAGACAAGGACCTTGTTATTACAGTTCAAGGTCTCAGCAGCAGCCCAGGACTGATATGGGACATGGATATAGTCCCAGTTCTCTGATAGTTTACTCTAAAGTGACATTGTCACGCTGAGAAGAGACTCTTGCTCTCTGCCTTCTGTGTCAGAGTAGATGGCCCTTGGAGACAGTATGTAGGGCTCTGCACAGGAGTCTGACCAAAATATGTCTTTTTAACATATTGTTTGCTGACACAGCCTGTCACTTGTTGTTTTTCAAATTATGCTTTTGTGAGTGAGTTGGGAGATATCTGTGTTAAAAGGATCTTTGCTAGGATGGACAGTGTACCTCATGTGCAGAGCCTTTACTGCCTGAAGCGGTGATGTGGGGTGAGATCTGGTTGACCTATAGCAGATGAAAAACACTGTGACAGTGTCCAAGGCAGCATCCATGTTCACCTCTGAGGATCTGATCAGCAGCTTTAACTACAGCAATTATTCCTGTTCCTTCTTTCTAATTTTTTTCTTAATTCTATTGTTTAACATTTGTGGAGTGAATAATCCATTTTTTTCCAGTGGAACGAAGAGCTTTCCTTCTTCTTCATAGAAGAAACCATGAGAATGTGAAGAGATCAGAAGCAGTTTTCTCTTTACATGTAACTGTGGTCAATCTTCTTTGTTCTTTGTTGGGGTTTTTAATGTTCTTTACTTCAGAGCAATGTCTGGTTTTGTCTTCATGGAATTTGTGCTGGTCTTTGGTGAATATGAAGTGCTGGCTAGGCAAGAGAGATCAGGAAGCCTTCCACTAAATAAAAAACACAGCAGTTAGTTTTGCCAGTGGTTACAAAGCTGGTGCTGTTTGTTGTTCTTTCTCTCAAAAGTAACAGTGACCAGGAAACACTAACGTCTGCACTGGAGGTTGGCTTTTCAGTAACATCCCTTCATGTGACAGCTGTTAGGACACATAAATGCAGTTTACGTTGGAACTTGGCTGCTGCTGAGGCAGAGATGTACAAAAAGCAGGCAGACTTCAAAAACAAATGCTTTAACTGCTACAAAAAGGGGGGAGGTGAGGATTTGGTTTTGGAGTTTCACCTTGAGAGACAAACAAGTGGTACACAGCCTGAAAGGTAAGGCAGCTCCCACAGTGACACTGCCTTCCCCTACAGTGATGAGTTGTAAAGCCACTGGTCACTTCCATAGGACCAGAAGAAAACTTTGTGCTTCTGATGAGGTCCTGAATTGTGCCTCTTGGTGTGTGGTGGCAACTGAAAGCCAAGGCCACAGGTGTAGTTTCCATGGGACCCACTGAGTTCAGTGATGCAGTGTCAGATGTTTGCAGAAGGAACACACAGGTTCAGGAAACCCCTTTGGATAATAGACTTTAAACTGGAATCAAGATGTTTTGTAGGAGAAGACACCCTCTAACTTAAAATCTGGTCAAATTCATATGGGAGTTACAATTTACTGCTCAGTACCTTCAGGGTGTCCACAGGCCTAACACGAAACTTTCAGAATACAGATGTTGCTTTAACTCCCAAACTAGTAGGACATGGAGTGACTACAGACACTTGATAGCCCCCATCACATTGATCCCCATGCTAGACAAAGAAGTCACAGAAAATCGCTGACTTGTGCTTAGATGCCGCCTCTCAGAGCTGATCAACACAATTAATGGGAAAAATGTCCTCTGGTTCACAAAAGGGCAGTAATGGAAAAGCCATAAAAGCTCACCGTGTGGTTTTCCAGGGTAGGCAGCTTTTCTCTTTCCTCTGAAATTCAGAGGTTTTTCCATCATGTAATATCAATGGCCAGGTTGTTAACACTGAAGTGCTAAGCACATTCATTTGCATACACAGATAACACAGAATGCTCCAGCAGCAGAGTTTTATTTATTTTACAGCAGTGCTGAATTTCGTGTTGGAGCAGATCTGATTCTCTGACATGGAGAGCAGCTTTTAAAAAGTGTTGAGTGCAGACTGGTTTTTTGGGGGGCAAAGGGGGGAAACAACAACCTCAAAACCTCACTGATTTTATGGTGAGTTGAGGTCAAAACATTATCACTCCAGTCACCTGAAGGTGGTTGGTAGGTACGGCTACAACTGCTCTAGCAGATCAAGATTCATGAAAAACCAAAATGCATCTTGCTGAATTGGACTGAAAGGAACAAGCTGAAGCACATGACTTTTGTGTTTATTACTCAGGCCTGTTGCCATGCAGAAGTCTGTATGTACATGTTTCCATGTTCAGCTCTGAGATGTTTTGGCGTACGAGTATGGAATTTGAAAATGGAGAGTATTTTTTGTATTAATGCGTGAGAAACTTCATTTTCCAAATGCCTGAGAGAAACTATGGATATGCTTAGAAATAATTTATCAGCTGAGCAGTAATTTGAGAGGCCAAGGAAATAACATGTCCTCCTTTCCCAGTCTTATTCACAAAAAGCCCCTGTGATGCCAGAAGGAAGGTTTGAAGCTAATGGAAAATGTCAGTTCTGCCTTTGTTCGTAGGACTCCACTGTTCAGGGGGGAGAGGTCCCTGAATGCAGGTCAGTAGCACACACATAGCAAATTCAGCACCTCACTAAACAGTTGTTGGGTGTCTTTTGTATAAGCCACATAGAGGCTGCTGCCAGATTCAACACCCCCCTGGTAAATTCATAAGAGGAGCAGTGGAAATTGCAGCCTCGAGGGGAGAGGTGTGATTGCACTTAGAGTGGCTGTGAATTCGTTTACAAAAAGCAAATACAGTTACTGCATAGGACACACAGATCTGCAGGAGAAGTTTTTCTGGGACCAAAGTCCTGTGTGGTGCTACCATGCCTTTTGGATGCAACTTGTGTATATTGTGTAATTTTGTTTATGGACGGTGTTATTTGAGACAAATTGCGTAAGTATTTAGGTTTGCATAGAGCCATCATTCTGTACAAGTGCTTTAAAATTATCTGTCAGTGACTAGATAAAAAGGCTTCTAAAGGGATTTTTTTCCCCCTTCTTTCTCTTTCTGGCATGTTTGTTTGGGGGTTCATGAACTTCTACTGTGTGCATTTCTTTATATTTCACTCTGGTTCATTATTGACAAATTCTGTCTCCAACAGTTTTGTCTCCATCTAAGTGGAAAATACAGCTCCCTTCTGTTCAGCCTGGCCTGCCTCTGCAGAGGTAGTGTTGTTTACTCAGAAGTGTTGCAAAGCAGGCATGAGCCGCTCATTGTGCGTGGTCTCTCATGAGGAGAGACCAGGCGTGTGGGATGCCACCAACAACATTGATTTGGTGTCAGAAGTATTATTTGTTGTATGATTTAACCGTGTAGGGAAAGACAAGCAAGGAAGTTCTCTGAAAGGGAAAACATTGTTGTGATGGGGAGGGACAGTGGTTGCTTGGTTTTGCCTTTGAGTTGGTTCCTTTAAACAAAGTTTCACTAGTCTTTATAAATCATGGTGGAGATTGCAGTGTAGAGATAAAAAGCACTGAGTTATGTTCACGCACATTCTTGAGTACTGGTAGGAGACAAATAAACAGACTGCCTTCCTCCCAGGTCATTAAGTACATCTAGGCTTGCCTTTTAGCCTGGGGCTTGAATTAATCTTTGAGACAGAGCTTTCTGGCAGTTTGGGCCATCCTCACACTTGCTTGTAGTTTGGCTCAATATTGGAACAAGCCCTTTCCCAGGAAAGGAAATGCTGGAGTTGCACCTTGCTCAGTGTAATCCAATGGAGTGTGAGAGCCCTGCCAGGCACCCTGGCTGTGCAGTGTGGCCCAACAAGCTCGAGGAGGTGTGTGGGCATGGCCAGCAAAGAGGGGATAGATGCAGCCTTGCAAACCTCCACTGACCCTATGGGAACTGAGTACCAAAATACCTCTGTGACCGAGCCATGTGGGCTTCTCCAGGCTGTGCTGCATTTTCCCAACCTCTGCTATTCATAGAAACTGTAAAAGCAGTGGGACTCCTGAGAGTTTAGTGAAGGATGAGAAACAGCAAGATGTTTCAAGACAAACAAAACAGACTAAGACCAGACTGTTCTGGCCAAGCTGTGTGGGAATCTACTGCTAATAGGTTTTAAAAAGAAACCAACTTCTGGGTGCAGAACACAGAACCTTGTCCTACTGCATTATCAGACCAGTAATTCTTGTAGCCTGGCATCTTGTCAGTGGTTGGGATCTGATGTTTCAAAGCAAGTTTCTTCCCATCTCTGGGCTACTTTCTGCCCTTCAGTGGAAGGGCATTGTATTCAGTTACAGGATCATGATCCAAATTTCTGCTTTTTGCGGACCTGGTGCTCTCTGAACAACAGGCTCAGTGGCACATCCTGTGACATCTAATAACTTTCTGGAATGCGTCCTCCTTTTAGGACGAGTTCTCTCAGCAGTGCTTGGCATATGGTCCAAGTTTCCAAGAAAATAAGGCAGTAATTTGTTGCAGTGAAAGTGAGAATGCTTCAAATAAGTAGGAAGAAATCCAGGTGACAGCTTTAGTGCTTTGTTCTTATCTTGTTCAAACATGGGAAATGCTGTTCTGATATAATTCTAAGTCAACAGATCTGGGGAGTGTCAATTATTTTATTCACTCTGAGTGACCTGGCACTGTATTTCATTTTAAAAATGGTTTCCAGTATGCCTTGCTGGTTTTCAACTTAAAATGTCTTTTAAAGTATTACTTCATTTCTTTTAATAATGCTCAGAGCTAATTCTGTTAAGTAAGCAAGAAAACAGGACAAATAAAAATTGGTGGATACTTGAAACAATAAGGTTTATGCTGTAATGTTTAAGGTGGCTTTTATATTGAGCTGTAGCTGACAGCTACAAATGCTGAGGCCATTTGCAAATCAGCCCACTTGCTGAGGGGTTTTAGGATACCTCCCTCTACTGAGCTCAAGGAAAAGTTCTCACCCTTGTAGGTCCAGATTTCATTACAGGAGCATAGTCCTCCTCCTCTGAAGAGTGAAAAAGTTGACCTAGCATGAGAATGGGATGTAAGTGCTGGAAATAGCAGCTCTGTGCCAAGTGATACAGCTCCTCCTTTGGCGTGCCATGCGCCGGTCTGACTGCCCTCACCGTTGTCTGGATCCGGTTGAGTGCTGGCAGAGGTTGAATGCTTCCTGAGAACAAATCACGGTATTGTTCGTGTCTGCTCATGCACTGCTTTTCGGGAGTGTGGTTCATGCCGGTAGCAAGGAGCAGAACCATTAGCACCAAATGAATTCTCTGTCAAGGAGGATGTCTCCCTGAAATTTTTTCCCCTTTTTCTCCAGCTGCTTTCCCCCTGGACTCAACTTGCAGTATCCTATTGGACTGGCTCCTCTGAAGCAGATGACCTTTTTTTTGTTAACTTGGCAGTTCGTGGCCTACCGTGATTTTCCATGAAACTGCCTCCTTTCTATTTCTTCCTCATCCAAGTGAGCAGCTGGGAAATGAAATACGACAGCTCTGGCACTTGAGGAAAACAGTTCTGCTTCGATCAAGCCCCTTCCATCCTCAAGGCCTGTGGAAACTGGTCTGTCTGAAACAGCCAAAATTTCCACCCTAACTAACCATACCAAAAGCTCCATGCCAGGGAGTTCCTAGTCATGAGCCACCACCTCAGGGAATGATCCACTGGCAAAATACAACAGCAGTTCCCAAGAGTCCCATCGCTCCATGCCCCAGCAATACTGGCTGCAGCAGCCATCACTGTCCTGTTTCTGCCCAGATCCAGGGACTGGGTCTGTCCAGAGCAGCTGCACCAGTGTAGCCACACTGCAACTGGGGGCAAATCATGGATTATGAGCCATCACAACTGGTCTCATGGCTCATAGTCAACCTCAGTGCTTGTGTGACGTGAGACCATGAGGAGCTTGGCCCAGAACTAA